GTGTGTGTGTGTGTGTGTGTGTGTGTGTGTGTGTGTGTGTGTGTGTGCCGATGGGGGTGGCAAATGTGGCCTCCAGCCCCTGAAGTTCACAAGTTATACTCATATTGGTCTTTATGCACCTGTCTCCCTCCAAGGCTGTTTCAAGTCTTGTGCTTTTGGGCTCTGCAGCTCAAGTTTACATCTGGACTGGATCCCCAATTCTGTCACCAAGGTCCCATATTCTCTTGTCTGCTCTCCATTTCCACAACTCCAGGTGGTCTTAAATCTGGGTCCTGGGTCTCTGAACACTCCCTGCCCACAGTCCCTCACCAGGCATGGCTCCTTTTGTCTCCAGCAGATAATTAGCACCATGGAGACTCAGGTGTCCGGCGGCCCACCCCCTACGGCCCTGCCCAATGGGCCGCTTGTCAGCACCAATGGAGCCACCGATGACAGCAAGACCAACCTCATTGTCAACTACCTGCCCCAGAACATGACACAGGAGGAGTTCAAAAGCCTCTTCGGCAGCATTGGGGAGATTGAGTCCTGCAAGCTGGTTCGGGACAAGATCACAGGTGAGGGCCCTGGCCCTGGAAGGGGAGTGGGAGGTGGACAATGTCCCAAAGAGAGCAAAGTCAGGACTGGAGAAAGCAAAATGAGCCCACAGGTGGCCCTGGGGAAAAGGAGAATGAGAAGAGAGAAGTCAGATTAAGACAAAGCCCTAGTGGGTGGCCATGGGGAGGCGGGGGAGGTCATGAATGGGAAGGAGAGATGAAATCACAGGTGACCCTAGGGAGGGAGTGAAGGAAAGAGGTCCCAAATGGTCCTGAGTTTGAGGGACAAGGTCATGGGTGGCATTGAAGTCACAGATCCTGATCCAGGGAAGGGGGAAGAGGGTCATAGGTGGGAGGAGAAAGGGGCACAGTGTCATAAATCCAGCCTGCATGGGAGAAGATGAGGGTCTTGGTGGGAAGAGGTCAGGAAGAGAGAGGGGTAGAGTGGTCATAGGTCTAAGGTGGAAAAAGGGGTAATGGAGTTGAGGTCACAGGACCAGAAAATAAGATGCTTTAGAATCCTGGCTTGGTGTCACTGTCCTGGGCTCAGGATTTTTACTAACCTAGAGGTTTGGATTTTGAGGGATCTGAGTTTGGGATTTGAGAAGTATAAGTTTGGGATTCCAGGATCTATCAAATGAAATAATATAAGTACTTTGTGAACCTTAAGACACCATGTAAATTAAATTTTAGCTATTATTAGGGGACTCTTTCTCTGACTATGAAGGCTTCAGCTTCAAGGCTATTTGTCACCCTCTGACACCCACATCCCTCCGCTCCATTCCCCTCAGGGCAAAGCTTGGGCTATGGCTTCGTGAATTATGTGGACCCCAATGATGCGGACAAAGCCATCAACACCCTCAATGGCCTCAAGCTGCAGACCAAGACCATCAAGGTCAGCCCCCTGCGCTCGGGCTGCTCCTCGAAATGGGGTCAGCCCCCTGCGCCCCAGGCAGGGCGGACAGAAGGCTGACCCAGGGTCAGGGATGGGGGAGGGGACCGGCTTGGCACTTTCCATGTTTTTGTCATGGAAATGGAGGGAGGGGCCCATCTGGTGCCTGAGCTGCCTAATTAGGGCATGGTGGGGGGAAGGGGGATTAGTGACCACAGGCCCCGCCCCTCCCCCTTTGTCTGTGTCCGTGTGAGTTTTTGCCTCTGTGTGAGTGTGACTGTGTGTGTGATCGATCGAGTGAGTGTGTGTGTATGTGTGTGTTTGTCAGAGTGGGGGGGAGGAGGGGGGAGGATCACAGTTGCATCAGAGAAGGGAAGGAACTATGTAGAGTGGGAGGCCCAGCTTCTGGACACCTGGGTTTCTGTTGATTCAGAAGAGAAGCACGGTCAAACCTTGGGTCAAGACCCCCCACCCAGGGCTTTCCCTCTATCCTTCCATCTCTCTTCAGGTCTGTTTCTGTTTCATTGACAATATGTCCCTGTCTCCTGTCCCAGTCTGTCTACGTCTTTCTCTGTCTTTGTCTTCCTCCCTCTCCCCTTCTCCCTTTCTCTCTTTCTCCCTCTCCCTCTCCCTTTCCCTCTCCCTTTCCCTCTTTCTTTCCCTCCCAGTTTCCCTCTCTCCCCAACTCCCTCTCTCACAGTCTCTCTTTCTCTCTCTCATTTGCATATCTTTGTCTCCATCCTGACTCTTATTTTTTTTTCCTTCTGTCTCCGTCTGTGTCTTTCTCCTGATCCTGTCTCTGTGTTACTGTCTCTCTCTAACTAGAAGGGAAAGGGGTCCCTACCCTGGAAATCTGGGTGGGGGAAAGGAGAGGCTCAGAGGTGGCTTCTCCGTACCATGGGGGAGGGTGAGTCTCCTCAAAATCTAGGTTCCCTCATTCCCCCACCCCAGGAGGTGGGAAACTCAAGATGAGAGTCTGATTGGAGTTTCCATGGAAACTTAGTAGTGCTTTCACTTGCACCCTCCCCCCCAAAAAAAGTGCTGTCCCCTCCCCAAATTCCTGTGTCTGTGACTCTGGGCATTTGCCTGTGGGGACATTGAGGCTCCTAGGAAACAGAGGCTTGAAGCCTGCCTGGGCTCGGCCTCAGGAAGCCCAGGTGGTCTAGCTCTGGATCTTCCTTTGACTTGCTGTGTGACTGACTATAGGGAGATCCCTTTCTCTCCAGACTAGTCCTCACTTTCCCTATCTATAGAATGGGAAGGGAAGGGTGGGGGTGGTTGGACAAATGAACTCTAAGCCAGGGGTTATCCCCTCATTCCCACTGGCCCTGGATCCCGCATGGGTCCCTAATACCCCCAGGTGTCCTACGCCCGGCCCAGCTCAGCCTCCATCAGAGATGCCAACCTGTATGTGAGTGGCCTCCCCAAGACCATGAGCCAGAAGGAAATGGAGCAACTCTTCTCCCAGTACGGGCGCATCATCACCTCCCGAATCCTCGTAGATCAGGTCACAGGTCAGCACAGCCCATCCTGCCTCATTTGGCCCAAGGGTGGGAGGGGGAAGAATTGATGGGAGTGGGGAGCTAATCAGAGGCCCTCTAGGAGCTCACAGAGTCACAGAGATCAGATACATAGGTCCAACCCCTTCATTTTACACAAGGGGAAACTGAGGTCTGGACTTGCCCAAAGTCATACTGTGAACTATCTCTGGAACTGAACTCGATCTCAGGTTTTTCCCTCAGGGCTGTACCCCATACCTGGCACTGCCTCATTCAGGCCAGGGAGGTAAGGGTAAAATGCCTGATATGCCCAGTGTGCTAGCTAGCCTGGTGAAGAGACCACTCGGCTGGCACAAGGCAAGGGGGCGGGGGCAGGGGCAGGGGAAGGAGAGCTGGAGAGGAAGTGACTCCAGAGGGATGGGTTCTGAGTCCAAGGCTTAGGGGCCTGATTTGATCACAAGGGAAAGGGGCATCAGAATAAAAGGGGTATGAGAGTGCCCCACTTCAAACACTCAGGCCACAGCAAGGGCCCCTCCCCTGTCTCCTGCTCAGGGCAGAATTAGTCGATGAGCTGCACTTTGCAGGGCATTGATTGAGGTATTGATCAGAATCACTGATCTGGTACCTCGGGCACCGGGATCTCTGTTCCTGTTCTCTCCTCCCCCATACATGTGCCCTTGGGCATAGGGCAGTGGGGGAGGGGAGGGTGGATAGAAGCCTCAAATTATCTCCCTCCCCGAGAGTCAGGCAAAGGAACCTAGTTAGAAGGGAATCTCAGAGATCTTTTAGTCCAACCTGTGTCCAGATAGGAATTTCCTTGACAGAGGATTCATCTGGTTTCTACTTGAAAATCTCCACTTGAGACTGTTCTAATTATTAGGAAATTCTTTCCACACACCTATGTGTCTCTCTGCAGCCTCCACACATAGTTCCTAGTCCTTCCCTCCAGTTCCAAGTAGATCAAATCTATTTCTTGTTCCATACCCTTCAAATACTTGAAAACAGCTCTCATATCTTTTCTCCAAGTTAACTATGCACAGTTCTTTCACCTAATGGAAAGAACAGGATATTTACATGTCCTGAGTTAACCATCCTCCTGGTTACTTTCCTTTGGACATGCTCCAGTTTGTCAGTCTTTCCGATTCTTTCCTAACATGTGGTACCCAAGACTGAAGACAGTTCTCCAGATATAGCCTGTCCTGGTCTAAGTGAGACAGAACTTAGTAGTATTCTGAACACTGGAATAATAACAACTCCCGTTTGTAGGGCATTTCATATACATTATCTCATTCGACCCTTACCTCTAGTCTCTGGAGACGGGTGCTATTATTATCCCTATGTTACAGATGAAGAAACAGACTCATAGAACTTCTATGAGCCCAGGTTCCAGTGCTAGAAAGTGACAGACCCATTGGGTCTTCCAAATTCCGATGTTGGTACAGAGCCTCTACTACCCACTGTCTCTATGATGAGTGCATTCTAACAGCGCATGAGAATTTTTTTTTATCTCCTGTTAGACTGTTAACTAATACTGAGCTTTATAATCCACCTTTCAAATGACAAGCTCCACGCACAGTCATGCCTCTCCTCCTCTGTCACTGTGACTTGTGTGTGCCAGGAGTAGGACTTAAGTCCTTTGTCCCTACTAAATTTTATTTTAGAAGCATATATTTAGAGCAGGAAGGTGCCTTAGAGATCATCCAGTCCAATTCCCTAACTTTACAGATGAAGAAGCTTTCAAGAGAAGGGGACTTACTTGTCTGAGGTCATTCAAGTGACTGACCTCATATCCTTCGGACTTTGGCCCATCATTCTAGCCAAGATGTTTTGGGATTCTAGACTACTGGTGAGGAGTCATGTTTAGTCAGAATGTTGAAAACATTGAATACACAATGCCTGGCATGCAGTAGGTGCCTAATAACCATTTATTGGCTCACTGATTAATTGAGTGTGAGACAAGGCTGGAAGAGATTATTCAGAGCCAGTTTGTAGAGATCTCGAATTTCATCCTAAAGAGACAATGCTTTTTCTTGATGGGCAATGAAGGGCCCTGAGTTTTTGAGTAGCAAGATCACACGATCAGAATAGTTCATGGGAAGCTTCCTCTTACAACATTCTGAAGGATAGGCTCCATTGGGGAGAGGCTTTAGGGAGGAAGTCATTGAAGGGTCCTAATACAGAGATCCCAGAGAGAGGAAAAGATGACCTGCCTGAGTTCAAGTAATTGCAATGGAAGCAGAAACAAGGAAATGGAAGGAAGAGGGATCATAAAAGGATTTTGGCAACTGGTTAGAAATGGAGATCAGTAGAGATTGCAATATCACATGTGACTCAGATTTTGTGTCTTGAGTGTCTTGGAAGGGGAAGCCAACATAAACATGGAGGTCCCAAGGAGGGGCAGGTTTTGAGATCTGAAAGTAGCACCTATATACTTTCTGTCCCATAGTGCATTCATTTTCTTGACTGATTTCAGCATTGTTGCCTGAACTTTTGATAAGTATGCCATCTATGCCTTGAAAATCTGAGTCTTTGATAAAAATGTTAAAGAATCCAAAGCCTATGCCAGGTCTTTGGGGTCCTCCACTAGAGACCTCTCTCTAGATGGACCTCAGTACATCAATCATCGCTCTTTGGGTGTGGTAATTTGATAATTTCAGAATCCTTTTTATCCAGCTTTTGTCTCTACATCTTGTCCACAAGGATGTCTTGAGAGAGATTGCCAAACCGTGAAGAAATCTAGATAGTCTTATGTACATCCAATCAGTCAATCAATCAGCATTTAAGTATCCACTACGTGCCAGGCATAGGTGCTGGGGATTCAAATGTAAAAGTAAGCGAGTTTCTGCCCAGAGGAGTTTAGATTCTGTTGTGGAGATACACACAGACAAATAAATACAGGAGATGAATACAAAATAGATGTAGTGATTTGGGGATGGGGGGGTGGCACTGACACCTGGGGAAATTGAGAAAGGCCTCCTGACAAAAGTGGTACCAGAGCTGAAACTCAGAGAGACAAGGGGTTCCAAGAACTGGAGAGAAAAAGGGAAAGCATAATGTAAAGTGAAAGACATAGTGAAAGACAGCTAGTGTACCAAGGCACTAAGATGGGAGAGCAGCCACTGTAGCTGGAGCTTCCTGGGTGTGATGGGGAGTGCCATGTAATCAGCCTAAGAAAAGATGATCTGGACCCAGATTGTGAAGGGCTTTAGATGCCAAAGAGAGGAATGTGGATTTTATAATACAGGAATAGGGAAGCCACTGAGGTTTTTTTTTTTTTTGTTGTTGTTGTTGTTGTTTTTTGAGCAAGGGAATTACATAGTGTGATTTGCACTTGAAAATATTCATTTGTCAGCTTTTTGGAGGATTGAAGAGAGGAGATTGAATGTAGGGAGACCCTGCATTCAGTAAATAATTACAGTAGTCCAGGTGAGAGGTAACGAGGGCCTGAAATATCATGGTGGCATGTAAGTAGAGAGAAATATTAGACGTGAGAGATGCTGACTGACACAAGATTTGGCAGTTGATTGACTTTGTGAATCGAGAATAAAAATTATTGTTAATGACGCTGATGAATTGAAGGATAGTGATGCCCTTTGGGAAAAAAAATAGAGATTTTAGGTGGAGAGGGTGGGCTTAAGGGAAAATAGGTTGGTTTAGACATGTCGAGTCTGAGATGTCTGAGATGCCTATGGGATGTTAAGGTAGAGCTGTCGATGTCATTCTCCATTTTAATCAGTTTAATAACACTGTCAAGAAAGGGAAAGCTTTTAGACTGCCCTTGATGAGCCCATTCTTGGCTTTTAATGACTGCTAGTTTCCACTGTAAATACTCACAGATCTCCTCTGTAATCATTCCACAATACTGCCAGGAATCAATGTTCAGCTTAGTTAGACCTTGAGTTTGAAGACTCTTAACCTCTTCCCTTTTTGAAAATCAGGACATTTGCCCCTTTCCAGTCCATCACATTTCCCACTCTCCATTATTTTCATTTTTTTAAAAGCTTAATTGTTATGAATATCTTTTGATTTTACATTACCTTCATTTCCAAATATGTTTCTCCTCCCCCTCTTACCCAGGGACCCATCTCCCTTAACAAAGAATTAAAAAGATGAGAGGGAAAAAAGCAGGTCAGAAAACATCAATGGAGTCTGACAGTATATGCAATATTCTACCCCCTTAGTTCTCCACCTTGGCAAAAAAAAAAAAAAAAAAGGAAGGGAGTTGTATTTTCTCAGCTCCTTTCTGGGGCCACCCTTGATCATGATAATGATACAACCTGAAGGTTTTGTTGTTGTTGTTCTTTCCATTTACATTGTTACAGTCATTTTGTATATTGTTTTCCTGGTTCTGCTCACTTGACTCTGCACTGTCAGATGTATTTCCAGGCTTCTCTGAATTCTTCAAGTTCTTTCTTTCTTAAGGGGTCAGCAATATTCCATTACCTTCAAGTACCACAATGTATTTAGCTCTTCCCCAGTCTATGGGCATCTACTTTGTTTCCAATTCTTTACTGCCACGAAAAGGAATGCCATGAATATTTTGACTTGGGTAGAACCTTTCTTACTGTCTTTGGTCTCCTTGAAGGGTAGATATGTTGCAAATTCTGCGTGACTTTTCAAAGACTGATAGTTACTCAACACTCATTCCCCACAGTATCTTGGTTGTCTGCCTTGATTCCTTTAAATTGAGTAATTCCTTAATTTGAGTACTTAATTCCTTAAATTGAGTAAATAGACTCAGCTCATGAGCTAAGTAGTTCAGCCAGGGCGGTACAGTGGATTGGAAATTGGAGTCAGAAAGATCAGAATTCCAGTCCTGCCTCAGGTATTTACCATCTGGGCAAGTCAACCTCTCTCAGCTTCAGTTTCCTTATCTGTAAAATGGGGATAATAATAACAATAATAATAATAATAATAATAAATAAAATAGTAATCAGTAGTAGTAATAGTAATAGCAATAATAGATAATAATAATAGCAAGGCTCAAATGAGATAATATATGTAAAGCACTTTTCAAACTTTAAAGCATTATATAAATGCTACCTGTTATCAAATTGTAATGACTAGAGCTCAGCTGAGTTTAGCTACAGGTTACCTTACCATTTCACTTATCTGTCCAGATTTAGTCTAGCCTCAGTTAAAAGATTATTCTCCTTAGAGGAAAAAGAAACAAAACAAGAGTGAAATAGCTTTACATTTTATCTATTGCCCCTTCTCGGTGTCTCCCACATTGTGAAAAAAGGGCCCCTGCTCTTTGATCACTCTTTTTCCTCCAACCTGGCTTTTTAAAAGCCCCTTATAGCAACTGGCCTTCACAATCACTGCTGTGCTTTCAAACTCTGAAGATTGTGATTTTTTTTTAATGGAAATTTCTATTGCTATATTTTGTTTTTGTGTCACCTTCATTTCTAATTATATTGATCTTCTCTCTCTCTCCCAGAGAGGCATCTCTTATAATATCCTTTATAACAACAACAGCAACAACAATTTAAGAGCAGGGGGAAAAAACCACACAATTGAGCAAAACTACGTGGACCTAGGCCACCATCTTTTGCAGTTGTTCCACACGTGTGGTCTCCCACCTCTTTAAAGAAGTGGAGTTAGGTGCATTCTTCTCATATCTCTTCTTTGGGGCCAAGCTTGGTCAGCTAGAATTTCACAGAAGTGAGTTTTGTGGGGTTTGTTGTTGTTATTGGTGTTGTTGTTTCTGTTCATGTTGTTATAGTCTTTGTGTCTATTGTTTTCCTTACTTGGTTCTGCTTCCTCTAGGTTTGTTTCCCTTTCCTGCTCACATCCCTTTGCCTCACCTCATTTGTCTTCCCACGTTTCTCCCTATTTTTCATACCGATAATCTCTTCCAGTTCAGTAACATCCCATTATATTGACATACCAGAATTTAATTAGCCCTCTCCCAGTCAATGGGCATCTACTTTCTTTGCACGTATTTCCTGCTTAAGGCTTTTGAAGTCAGAGGCAGTTTGACTTTTGTCCTTGTATCCCGAGCACCTAACACAATGCGTGGAATACATAGTAGGTGCTTTGTAAATATTTTGTTGATGGATTGATTGACACTTTAAAATTAAAAAAAAGGTCACCACTTTTCTGTAGTATCAAGGAACTGGAAATCAAGTAGATGTCCATGGATTGGGGGAGTGAACATGGGATGTGGATGTAAGGGAATATCACTGTTCTGTGAGAAAAGATGGGTATGATGGATGCAGAAAAGCATGGGCAGACTTAAATGAACAGATGCAAAACAAAGTAAGCAGAAACAGGGAAAAAAAAAACACAATACATACAATGACCACAACAGTGTAAATGGAAAGAACAACAACAGAACAGCTAACTCTGAATGCTATGAAATTTTAATGACCAGGTTTGGCCCAAAAGAAGAGATATAAAAAAGCATCTCCCTTCCATTCATTGTAGAGGTGGGGGAATATGGGTGTGGAACACTGTATATAATGTCAGACTTTTCCAGGATGTATTGATTAGTTTTGCTGAACTGCTTTCTTCCTCCATCTTTTACATTCTTTCTTATCAAGGCTGGCTCTCTGGGAGGTGGAGGGGGGCAGGAGAGAAAGGGATCCACTGGGAAATGTAGGAAATGTAAAAATATCAATAAAATTTGCTTTTAAAAAGAAAAAACTTTTTATCATTGATTTCCTAAACTATTCTTATAGGACCTACCACTCTTTGAAACTCATTCTCTGTTATCTGAACTTGCTTTCATCTTCTGTACATGTGTTTAAAAAATCTGAAGTGGTTCCCTGTGCATTCCCAAGTTGGGCTCTTTGAGAGTTAATATGGCTTTGTGCAAAGAACACTGGATTCAGTCAGAAGGTTCTGGGTTCAAGTCCCAGCACTGACATTCCCCAATCCTGTGACTTTGGGCAAGTCGCTTAATACCTCTGAGTCTCTGTTTTCTCACTGGTAAAAATGGGAATAAAAACCTTTGTACTATCTCCCAGAGTTGTGGGTAAAGTGCTTGGTCAACTTCAAAGCCCTATAGAAATGTGAGCTATTTATTTTCTTTTGACAGTTTCCCCTTTTCTTCCTCATCAGAAGCCACCTGTGTCCTGGGGTTAAAGGGCATCAGAACTCACCACTGTCTCTCTCTCCCCCACTGGCACGTTACAAGGTGGGGTGGCATCAGAGCCCCTCCCTACACATAGGGCTCAAGGGGATCAGAGCTCTTCACCCACTCCCCCTCCTGCACAGGTGTGTCTAGGGGCGTGGGCTTCATTCGGTTTGACAAGAGGATTGAGGCAGAAGAGGCCATCAAGGGCCTGAATGGGCAGAAGCCACTAGGCGCCAGTGAGCCCATCACTGTCAAGTTCGCCAACAACCCCAGCCAGAAGACAGGCCAGGCCCTGCTCACACACCTTTACCAGTCCTCAGCACGGCGGTATGCAGGACCCCTGCACCACCAGACACAGAGGTTCAGGTGAGATACCTTGATCCTCCCCTATACCCTGTTCTCAAAAAAACAAAACAAAACAAAAAAAAAACCCAGAACAAAACCCAAAATTAAAAAACCACCACCAATAAAAGAACCCATCACCTCTTTCAAACAGCAACCCTGATTCTCTACAAATATCTCCCAAGTCATGTCCCCCATATCGCTTTCTGGGGATGATCTCTCAGTTGAGTCTAGGTCCTAGGCCAGGCTCTTGAAGTCCTTAGTGGGGAAGGAAAAGATAGTACTAAGGGCTGCTCCAGTCAGGGAGGGGAGACTGTCCTGGACACTGGACACAAGGACACCCAGGCTGAGGCTGGGCCATGTGAGTTTCCGTGCCAGGCAGTGCCCTGGCTGGGAGGGGAAGTGCTGAGGACAGCCCTCTGAACCCTGCCCACGTTGGTCTGTAAGCCTGAGGGGGACCTACTGACTAGTGCCTTCCTCCATGAGATGTGTCACATGCACATCCACATATATGTCAAGGGGTAGGCAGCAGAGGATTCATGCAGACCTGAGCCCCCCATGGTATCCTCTACCTCCCCATTCACCAGAGTTCAGTCACTGACCTTCCTCCCTCCCTCCCACAGGCTGGACAATTTGCTAAACATGGCCTATGGCGTAAAGAGGTAACTGGCTCCCCCAGGGCCCCTAATTTCCTGTCCCTTCCCCTCCCCCCAACCTGGGAATACCCTGATGATCTCTTCCCACTCCCCTTACCTCCATGCTCCAAGCTCACCCCCTCCCTGGGTGCCAGGGCTGCTGCCATGGGGCTCCCTGTGTCTGTCCTCCAGCTTTCTCATGGATTCAGAGCGTCCTCCTCCCCTCTCCCAGCTCTGTCCCCCATTCCTAGCTCCTATCTTCCATATCCATCCTGGACCAACTCCTAACCCCACCCTGGGTCCCCACCCTTTCTTCACCTCTCCCAACCCCAGCTCCATCTTGCCCCTCCTCCATCCTCATCCCCATCTTTCATACAGTCCCTAGGCCCTATTATCCTTTTCTCCATCTTGTCTCATCTGGCTTCTCTTCCTGTTCTCCGCCAACTCTTTTACCTATCTGATTCTGGGTCCCCTCTGTCTCTGTTCCTCCTCCCTACCTGATCTCTGTCTAGCCTGTCTAGCTTCTGGTTCCCCTGTCCCTGTCTCCATCCTCTCCTTATCTCCTCTGTCTCCTGCCCCCCACTCTCAATCCTCAATTCTCAGTCCCTTCTTTCGCCTATCCCCATTTCATACCAGTCTCTTCTTCCTTTTATCTGCTCCCATCCCCATGCCCTATGCTCATTTCCTCTTCACTTAGATCCCTCCTCCCATCTCCCATCCCCACCTCCTTCTTCCACCTCCTTCCCCGTTCCCTCCCCACCATCATCCAGCCAGTCAGTCCCATCCCTCCCTGCTGCCACCCCCAACCTCCTCGTCGGGCTGGTTCCCGGCCCCCCCGGCCGGACACCCGCGTTACACCCAGAGTAGTCCCCTGTCGCTCATCGCCAGGTTTTCGCCCATCACCATCGACGGCATGAGCAGCCTGGCGGGTGTGAGCCTGTCGGGGGGCGCATCGGGCGCTGGCTGGTGCATCTTCGTCTACAACCTGTCCCCGGAGGCAGACGAGAGCGTCCTGTGGCAGCTGTTCGGGCCCTTCGGGGCCGTGACCAACGTCAAGGTCATCCGCGACTTCACCACCAATAAGTGCAAAGGCTTTGGCTTCGTGACCATGACCAACTACGACGAGGCCGCCATGGCCATCGCCAGCCTCAATGGCTACCGCCTGGGTGACCGCATCCTGCAGGTCTCCTTCAAGACCAGCAAGCAGCACAAGGCGTGAGCGCCGGTGGGTGGGCCGGCGGGCCAGGCGGGCTGGGCGGGGCGGGGCGGGCCAGGGCAGCAGACAGGTCAGGGCGCAAGTGGGTGGGCGGGGCCGAGAATCTGAGCTGGGCCAGGCTCGGGGAGGTGGGGGGTGGGGGGTACGGACCAGACTCACGGATGGACGGGTGGACGTCTGAACAGACCCCCACTCCCACCCCCCACGGAGAAGGAAGCAGCCACCCAAACTTAGGTCGCCCTCATGACTCCCCAACCCCGACCCCTAACCCACCCCGGCAGCAGCCCTTGGCCCCCCAGTGTTAGCCCTGGCCCCACCAGTGTTCCTACGGGAACATCCCTCCCTTTTTCCCTGCTCCCCAACCTGGCCTTCCTGCTCCCCTGCTCCCCCTTCCCCCCCTCCCTTGCAGCGTGACAGATGTCGACTGACAGACAGGAGGACACGCTGCAGCCACTGCTGCTAGGGGCGGGGCGGGGGCTGGGGGGCGCCAGAACCTCCCTCTCTGGACTAGAAACCGGAGGGCGGAATAAATGGCCTCCTCCTCTCTCTGCTCCAGACCCTCCCGGGGACTAGGGAGCGGAATTGGGCAGGAGGCGGGGGGAAGGCGCTGGCCTTAGAGAGGGGCTGGGGGTGGGGCCCTCCTGAACCCCCCCTTCTTTCTTGCTCCCCCCCGCCCCAGATACTGGCTCACTCGCTCACTCTCTCTCGATCTTCCTGAGCACTGAGCTCTTGGTTTCAGTCATTCTGAAAGTTTTTTCTTTTATTTTGGCAAAACAAAAACCGAAGACGCAAAAACCTGGTGGTTTAGCCGGGGCTGGGGAGTCAGAGGAAGTGGGGGTTCAGGGCCCCCAATCATCCTGGGCAGATTCTGCCTGGGACCCCTGCCCTTCCAGGCCCCAAGACCAGGAGGGGTGAGGGAGGCAAAGGAACAGGTTTAAAAATCCCCAAAAAAAGAGACCTTGAGAAGGGGGCCTGGCCCCAGGAGAAGGTGGGAGGCGGGCGGGGGGAGAAGCTGAAAACAGAAACACAATGGAAAAAAAGGGGAAAAAAAAAGAAAACTCTATTTTTGTAAAAAGGGAAAAAGACCTTGTGGAGAATTTTTACTGGGGATTCTTGAACTTGACAAAAAAAAAAAAGACAAAAAGACAAAAAAAATGAGAGGCTTTTTGGCAGGTGAGGCTGGTGGGGCTGAGGTTGGGGCCTGGAGGGGGAGGGGAGGAGGGGCTCTTGAAGGGCACCCTGGGAATGTCATACCTGAGATACACACACACATACACACACACACACACACACACACGAACAACACAGGCGCACACACAGGATCACACAATTATATATACACACACGAAGAATACACACACAGGATCACACACACACATATATATATATATATATATATACACAGACACACACACACACACACACACACACTCAAGGGGCAATCAGTCACACAGGATTGCACCCACACATGATATCAGAGACACTTTCCACCTCCACCATACAGACACTTGCAGACATACATGAACACGCAGGACAACACATGACAACACAGACATTCCCTCTCTGCTTAACTCCCTTTCTAGAAACTGCCTCAAGGTTCCCTTCAAGGGAGCCCCAGAATGGAAGGACTTAACATACTAGCTCAGAACTAACCTTGGGGCCGGACCAGGGACCAGAGGGAAACTCAGCCTCCCTGGACATGGCCCCAAGGGGCCAAAGGTCCATGCTCCCCAGCCCCAGCCATCTCCTCCTCCCCTTGTGTCAGCTTATGGGGCCCCCCTGGCCTTAGGTCAGAGTGCAGGAGCTGGGCAGTCTCCCAGCACATCCTGATTTGGGGCCCAGGCCAGGCCATGGTGACTTCAGGCCAGGGCCTGGTTCTTGGGCTCATTCTGGGGGAGCCTGAGAGAATGGGGTGTGTGTGGAGGCAGGGGCTCTTTCTTTTTCCTCTGTCACTACACCTTCTCTCCCTAGAACTAGTGGGGCTGGGGCCAGTGCCAAGAGGGGTGCAGAGCCCAGATCTCAGCCCTAGTCCGGGTCAGGGCTGTGGGAGCAATGACCATATTGTTTGGGAAGAAAGTTGTACCTCCCTGTAACCAGTGGGAGTCAGGATGGGAGGGAGCTCATCCCCCAAACCCTGTGGTCCCAAAGGCATAGGGTCAGTGCCGGCCACTCCCCTCAGCTACACAGTCCTGGTCTAGACACTAATCTTCCATCCTTATTCGCCCTATCATGGGGCCGGGCCACAGGAGCCCTGCCTCTCCATGGGAGGCAGGTGGTGAGACTGTCCCCTAGACCTTGGGCAGCCAACATCCCTCCCTATCCCGCAGTGGACAAGCCCTGGCCCTGGTGCTGTGGGGGCCTGAGCTGGCCCCACCCTCCCATCCAAACCCATCTTCTGGGAACAATACAAAGAGGGAAGTAGACACACCTGACCTCCTCTACCCACCCTGACACTCACCTAGGTCCCTCCCAAACCTCTCCTTGGTTCAGGGAAACTGAGGCAGCCCCCAGGCCCAGGCCCTGATCCTTGCCCATCCCACCCCTGAAAGATCCTCATTCCCCATCCCCTCCATCCTTCCTCCTCCCCCCACTCCACCTCCCATCCAGTCTGGAATGTGCATTTATAGTTTCTGTTTTTTCGTTTCAACAAAATCGAAGACCGTGGCCTGGCCCTGGCCCCCTTGGTCTGCGGGCTCCGTTCTCCCCAGCTGGGGCAGCCCAGCTCAGCCTCAGTTCAGTGAGACACCATTCACCCAAGTCAAGCTTCTTCCTTGTTTCCCGTTAGGCGTTAGTTTGGGGCCTGGACCCCCTCCCTGCGCTCCCACCGTCCTGTGCTCCCCCAGTGTTTGTAGGTGTCTGTGGAGCTTCTGCTGCGAGAAAAAAAAATTAAAAAAAAAAAAAACTAAAAACTAAAAAAAACACAAAAAAACCACAAAAAAAACCACAAAAAAGCAAACAACAACAAACAAAAAAAACCTATAAAAATGAGAGAGAGAAACTGGCACCAATAACTCTTACTACACCTTTTTGCAGAATTTAGCTTCTTGTAGTTTTAACTTATTGTTAACTTAACTATTTATTATTATTCCGGCCGCGTGAGGACATTTGTGTATATTTCTGTTCCTTCATCCTATCCACAAGTTAAAGGACAGATTTTTTTAATTTGCTGAGAAGTGGTTTATGCCTAATTTATTTATCCAAGGGAACAAAAGTGTAGTTGGATCAGAATTCTTCGGAGTAACTGGAGAGAGTGGCTGGCGGGGGCCCAGCGCCCAGGCCGGCCCGGGTGGGCAACGGGTGGGTGGCAGGATCGGACGGTTCTTCTGTGGGGTTTTTCGATGTGCTCTATGATTTTGCTCTTGTCTTGTTGGGTACTTTTTTCAGTCCTCATTCTATTAGCTGGTGAAGACTTAAGCTTGTTGTTTATCTACACGGATCTATTTATTCTTGTGAAATTTCTAACCCCACCCTCCTTCTCCCCAGACCCAGAGCAGGGTGGACCCTGAGGGAAGGAGGGATAGGAGAGGCCCCCCCTACCCCCCCCAGGCCCAGCCCCAGGCGTCCCCCCCCTTGGCCCTTTGCTCTCCCCTCCTCTCTCCCCCTGTTTCTTGGGGCTTTTCCCCCTCCGCCCTTGACACGTGTGAGCACCTATGTGCACACGTGTGTGCAGCGTGTCCTGAGGCTTTTCGGAGCAATAAGGGCGGGCTGGGGGCTTGGGGGGGGGCAGCGGAGGCCCTGAGGGCCGGGCTCTGCTGAGCAGGAGAGAGAGGTGCCCCCTCCCCGCTCCCCCCTCCCCCAAACTCCCACTCCCCAGGCAGAGCCCCCTCCCCCCAGCCTGGCTCTCCCCATCCCCTCCCCACCCACACAGCTTGGGATATTTTTTTCTAAAACTAAACTAAACTCAGCCAGGCTCCCATGGCCAGGCCCCCTCCTTCCCTCAGAGGGGAGGGGAGGGGGCCCCTGGTCTTCCACATCCCTGGAGGGGGCTGGCAGGCAGGAGAGGGCTCTGCCCACTCCTCCTCACTTCATCCTGTTATTTATTCGGATGGTTTCAAATCATGACAGAGTAAATGTTGGAGGATCAAAAAAAAAACTGTAAAAAGAAAAAAAAAAACACTTTGCGTTGAGTTTAGACTATTTATTATGGGATTACAGGCCTGATGCTGTAACAGACTTTTACATGGAATCGTTGGATTATTTGTACTTTTCATGCCAGAAAATAAAAGTTCAGAATCTTATGGGTTTTGGGGGTCTGTGTGTGTGAGATTGAACACGTCTGTTGGTGTTTGAATGTACATTCGAGAGATGCAGCATATCTGTTTGTCCATGGGTGTGTATATGTGAGATTGAGCCCATGTAGTGGTACTTTTGAGTGTGTATGGTGGGGGAAGTGGAGGGGTGGTGTCTCATGCATTGGACAGCTGTCATATTCCTCCATTTAAGGTTAATGCCCTGCTATAGAAAGAACTGGGACTGACATGAGGAAACCAAAGTCTGAATCCCACCTCAGACACTTAGGACTGTGTGATTGTGAGCAAGGCCCAGCCTGGAGAGTCTTCTTGTACTCTCATTTCCTCATCTCTAGAATGGGGATAAAATACTTGTGCTTTGTCCCATCTACGGTGTGTGAGGAGGCCATTCTCAGTGGGATGGAAGGCAGCCAGAGACTCTGGGCTGGGGTAGTACTAACAGCCAGCAGCATTTCCATATCAAGGTTTGCAACAAAGCACGTTGTAAAGGTAACATTACTATCTTCATTTTACAGAGGAGGAAACCAGGGCTAAGACAGCCTAAGTGATCTGCCACAGGTCTGAGGCAGGATTTGAACTCAGACACAGTGGGGCCTGTCAGCAGTGGGGGGCCCAGGACCCCTCTCCCCTCCCTGCCCCAGCCGTCCCTCCTCCAGCATCAAGAATGAAGAGAGCCAACTTGGAGTTATGGGGAAGGATCTGAGTTTATTGTGTTGAGGTCACAGTGAGGTCAGGATCTCCCACCCAAGCAGGTCTTGCTCACTGGCTATGTAGCGAGCTGTACCAGCTGGGCCCGAAGCACGGCCAGGGTGAGAGGGTATCAAGTCACCCATCAGTGGGTGGAGCTGCCAACATGGGAGGGGGATCGGGCAGGCAAAGTGTCCCAGTCACTTGAGCAGCTAGACCAGAGGGGATGGGTGAGGCTTCCCCAATCAAAGGCAGCCTCGTGGTCTTCATCAAGATGGTGAGCCTTCCAAGGAGGAAGGTTCAGGGGGCAGAGCCCCCTGCACTGGCCCCCAAAGAGCCATGGTGGGCAGGGGCACATATCCTGGGTCAGGGTTGGGAGGGAGATGTGTGTGCAGGTCCTGGAGGTATTAACTTCTCCCCTGGGATTTTTCAGGAAAGAATGGGAAAGGTGATTACTGGGGGCTGGCCCCACACTCCACTCCCCTGGAAGCAGCTGCCCCAGGTGGGGCAAGAAGAGACAGGGAGGGCTTGGGGAAGGAAGCAGCCCAGGCCCAGGGAGTTAGTGTGTAGATGGGAAATCAGTCTAGGGACTTGCCCAACCTCCTTTGAGGTCGACATGGGTAGGAATGATGAACAGACCTGGCTTCCACTAGCAGGGCTTTTCTCTGGCACATGGCCTCCCAGATTGGGGGGGAGGGGGAGCAGGGCAGGGCCAGCCATACCTGGGGGGCTTAGAGCTCATCATGGTCAGGATCCCCTGGGAACTCTGGGGGCGGCTCCTGGCAGGCAGCTGGGGTGACCAGCTCCATCAGGTACTCGCATCGGCTTGGTTCTGTGGCACTCGTGACTACAGTTTCCTTCCCACATACCAGCTTCACCTGAGAGAGCCCATCCCCCCAAACCCGAGGGATGTCAGTGGAGGGGGAGGGTCCACTGGGACTCTGGCTTCTTCTCCCCACCCCCCCAACTCCCATGGCTCTCACCTTGGTAGAGCGGTTGGGGCCTTGCCAGCAACCTGTCCCATGTTCATAATGCATGATGCGGAATTTCTCCTCCTCTGACGCATCCCAGGACCCCCATGTGCTGTAGGGAGAGAAGGCAGACTGAGATCCAGGGGCATGCGGGGGAGGTGGGAGGCAGAGGGTCCTCGGACATGGTGGTGGTGGGGCAGTGGGAAATAAGGCTGAGGAAGGGAGGACACTCACCCCAAGTTGGTCTCAGAACCACCATGGTTAGGTTTCTGGGTGACTCGGTTGAAGGGACACAGTCTATAGATATACCTGCAGAGGCAGAAGTGGGCAAATGTGACCCAGGGTAGGGGTGCCAGGGCCTGCCCAAATACTAGGCTGAGATCTTCTCCAGCAACCAGCAGCCATCCTACTCCTCATGGAAGCAGCCTACGCCCTCCTTCTCAGATGTCCCCTCCTGGAGGCTCTTTCCCCAAGATCCCACTCCTAGGATCTGGGTGCGCGCACACACATGATCTCCCCTCTTGGGGTTTTATTCCCAACCCCAGGTTCTGAGACAAGATATTAATAACCAGAATGGTATGTCAGCAGGAATAAGAGAAGGCCTCATCCCCAGCTCTCCCTCTTTTTTCTTCCCCACCAAGACCAGAGGCCCCCAATTCAGAATCCACCTTCAGAGTCACTCTAACCCCTGCCATAGTGCTGAACCCCAGGCTTCCCACTGTCTGCTCTGCCCTCCCACCTTCAAGGGCCCTGTAAGACCCCCCGGGGTCTCTCTCCCTTGGATCTCCTCCTCTTTAAATGCAGCACAGAGATGTTGCCAGTCCCCAGGCACTCACTCATTGGTGGACAACTCATAGCACTGTCCAAACAGGTAGGAAAACTCCCCATTGGAACCCAAGTCCAGAGCCATCTCTTGCTCCAGGTTCCTGCAGTGGGACAGTAGGAAGGATGGGTGGGAGGGCAGCCCACATTGGGTCAGGGAGCCTCCCTGATGCCAAAGTGATGATCAGCAAGACACTGGGGGCGGGGGGAAATGAGGGCCAGATTTGGGGTTAAAACCTGGGTTTAGACTCTGGCCAGGTCCTTTACACGCTTCTCTAGACCCAATTCCTCACTGGTAAAACGCCCTGTCTTTTGCAGCAATCACATTCCAAAGTCTAAGGTCGTTTTATGCCTGAAGGTCCCCTTCTGCTATGTTTTTAGAGCCCCTCAAATCCTAAATTTTATGATTTCCCCCCACGCCAAATTCAGGCCATGTGACTTAGGCCTCTGGGTCCCCTGGTCTTCCACAATGAACAGGGTTCCAATCCAGCTGGTCAAGTCATTGTCTTCCCTCCCCCCAGCCCAGTTCTGACGCAGGGGCCCCCAGGGAGCCACCATCCTTTTCTCTCTATCATCAGGGACAGGACTCCTCACTGAAGCCACCTCTGCACCTCCCTGTAACCAAGGCTACCCTCAATTACTGGGACTCTGGGGCCCTGCTGGAGGTGGTAGGAGGAGAGGACAGAGCCCCAGCCCCAAATCCCAGGGCTTGGGCTCTCCTCCATCCCCATCCCCCTGCCATAGCAGCTCAGCTAGGCTGAGGACATCTGGGAGGGCCCTTGTTAATGCCTTGTCTCAAGGCACCAGAGAGGAGCTTTTAAGCTCCTCCCCACAGTACTCTGCAGCTGTCCCTCCTGTGGAGCATATCTGTGTGTCTCTGCTCCCTCCCCTGCCCCCCATGGGGGTCCGATCACAGCTCCACAAGGGTATTAAGCCCTGGGCTCAGGCCACATCAGTGAAGTTACGAGACCCAGTGCCTAGCATCCACTTTGTCCGCAGCCCCTCAGTACTCTTACTGCACGGTAAGATGGAGTTTCCCTCCCTATAACAGAGGCCTGCTATTTCCTGCCCCACTTCCCAGAGGACGGTTTGGTGGAAGGGTAGATTGCCCCATGGGAACCAAGAGGAAAAAATGGATAACAGAAAGGCAAAGCATCCAGGACAAATATACTGAGCAGAAGAGGCCCTCTGTTCACGCCTAGCCCTAATCCATGGTGAAGTCCTCCAAGGGATCAAAAGGCCTAAGTGACTGCAGCTCCTTCCCCTAGGATTGCAGAGATCAGTGGTCACTCATGGGCACCCTTCTGTACCTAAGCTGTGTGCATCTTTGTCTCAAGCCCTAATGGACTCTAAGTTCTACAAGGGCAAATCCTGCAGCTTGTCTCGTCTGTATCTCTCCGGCACACAGCATGGTACTCAATGCTAGAGAAGGTGGCGTGGCCTGTGATGGCAGTGTAGGGGTGTCTGTTCCTTTTCTGTCCCAGGCCTGGGGACAGGGAGGAGGGAGGGAGGCAAGCTCTGTTTCACAAGGGATGGGGGGGGGGGGAATTAAGGTTTCTCTTAAAGCATTTCTAAGGAGTTCACCACCCGCCGGCACCCCAATCCTGCCTTCCCACTCCATCCTTTACAGGGCCAGCCTCCCTTCCAGGCCCTGACCAGGAAGCTACCTGATGGACTCCTCCATCTCCGTCAATGACTTTTCAGCTTCTTCAAAATGGTCCCGAGCTTCCTGGGCCGCTGGAAGGCACAAAACACCCAGAGATGGTGGGCTGGGGCCAACATCAGATCATCTCCTTCTCCTTACTCAGTATCTCGAGGGAGGCAATCCTAGGCTTGAAAGGCTCCTAAGGAGCATCTGGTATGGGGTCAGCAAGCTGAGAAGGGTTTTTTACATTTTTAAATCCCATTGTTAGCTCAAGGGGCTAAGCAACAACAGGTAGCCAGCCAGATGTGGCCCTGTGGCGTCTATACTCTCATATTTTAGGCCCAGAGAGGTCAGGTCACTTGTCCAAACTCACACAGCTATTCCTGGCTGCAGAACTAGGATCTGAACATGGGTCCCAGAACTCCAAACCCAGGGCTCTTTCTACTATTTCAAGACACCAGAGCAAAGGAGCATAGAAATATAGGTAACAAACAGGACAAAGACTCAAAGCTATCTGAGCCTCAGACTAGGACTCACTCACCTCCCATAGTGCGGGGCCCCTCTCCCCACACTGCAGCTGCCTTTTGGGGCCCCCAACGTGCTGACCCTGTGGCAGCAAGGCAGCACCCAGGGCACATCCCAATGCATCAGACTCCCAAAGGGTCCTAATCAAGTCATCCAGGACAGCAAAGCCAGGGCCTCCCTCCCACCCCAATCCTGATAACTCTGCCCCTCTCCCTGGGCCCCAGGCTCCCTTTACCAGAAGAAGGCCTCATCTCAGGCAAAAGACCCTGGCACTCTCAGCAGTGGGAGAGAACTGTGAAAACCATGCGTCTCCTGTTACACCCTCAGTTCTGGGTTTCTCCCCACTCCCATGACTGGCCTTACTCTTCCCTTCCCCAGGAAGTAGAAACAGTATGTTCCCTGAGAAGAATCACGTGACGCCTTCCTCACACTCTCAGGATCACCACACAGAGACACACAGACACACACACAGTGAGTCAGAAGGCAGGAGGTCAAATGCTGGTTCGGCCACTCACTACCCGTGTGACCTTGGAATGAGTCCCATTCTCGCCCTGGCCTCAGCTGCCTCCACTGTAAACTGGGAAGGCTGGGCTGGGAGACCTTTCTAGCTCTAAATCTTCTGACCCTGAAGCCACTCCCATCTGAGGGACCACACGTGAGCATGAACATACCACCACATACTTAGAACTCCACACAAATGCCAGTCTCCTCAGTGTGCATGCAGATGCCCCCTCCCAAAGGAACGCTGAACTCCAAATCCACAAACACACCTTCTGCAAGATGGCAGGTTTCACTCACTCATCCCCATGCACACAATACAGGATGGATGCACAACAAAACTCTATGCTCATACTCACAGAATGCTTAGGCACCCATGCACACGCCCACAAGCTCCCTCTCTTGGGAACCACCGTGTGTGACACTGCTCAAAAGAGGCTCGGCTAAAGGCTGTCTCCTTTCTAGTGCCTTGGGCGCCACAGCCTCAGCTACCACCTGAGCTGACAGAAATGCTCAGCCCAGAGGTCTTTTGTCTAGGCTGAATTATGGCTCCAGGAGAGCAGGGGGCTTGAAAAAAGCCCACCCCCTATCTTCATGGGAGTATTAGTTTTAGGTCTCAGGAGCAGAGGCAGCAAGGTCTTCTCAGAACAACCCTCTGAACTGTCCCAGTTCCAGCAAGCACAGGGCATGGATGGAAATCAGCCTGGGTGAGAAGCCCCAGTGCAGGTGCCCCAGCCTACCACCTGAGGCATATCTAGTGCCTGGATTTTGGCCAATCCGGGCTTCTCAGCAGGAGGCCTAGAAAATTCTCTGCTCTGTTCAGTGTAGGCCTCCCAGGGGACCCTGCTGGCTCCTCCCTCACCCACTGCTGGTACCACAGTGCCTGGTAAAGATTCACAAACAAGCCTAGTGGCCCATGGGGAGGCAGGAAAGGGGAACTGGGGACACCGAGGCCACACCCCTAAGAGGCTCCCCCACACACATTCAGGGTCAGGCCCAATCCCCTTTGGCTCTCCTCAACAACTTTCTTCAGTTGTGGAGACCCTGGATCTGGCCAGCAGCCGGAGAAAAGTCCCCCACTGTCTTCAAGTGACTGCACCCAGCAGCTGTGTGCATCAAAGAGCTGTTTTGACATCTCCGTAGGCAGAAGCAGTGTTCTCCCCAGTGACTGACTGGGGAGGGTGGAGGTGTGGGGATAACCTGTTGTGAGAGAGGGGAAGCGGGCCTCACTTCCTTCCCAGAGAAGAGTCTTAGGGACCGGTCTGACCCTGCTTCACTGTGTACATCTGTACCAGCACCATCTGTATTCGCTGTCCCCCAACCTATTCTAGGCTCTCCAGTCTTGGGCCATCAGACACGGGCATTCCAGCTCAGACTCTGGGGATACACTGAGGGCAGCAGATGCATCACTGAGGACGGGAAGGAACAAGAGTCATACACACATCCCTTCCTACGCACACTGCCTCCTGTGTATCTCTAAGGGACTCTAGGGGTCAGCCAGGACAACACCCTCATTGTAAGCGCAGTGATTTGTCTCAGGTCATAAAGCTAGTAAGTAGTAGAGAAAGCGAGAATCAGGGCTAAGCACCACCCAGGTCCAATCTGAGGCCCTCACACCCTGAGCTTGGTGCTGGTGGCTCCCTTTTGATGGGCCGGGCCAAGAGGGAACTTACAAAGGTACAACCACCAGGTCAGGGCCCTTTCTGAGAGAGCAAAAAGATGTCAGCTCCTTAGCTACAGGTGGTAGGGTTGCTGTGGAAGGAACTTAGAGAACCAGCTAGGGCCACAGGCTAGGCATGGGCGTCCCCCGCCTGGACATGCTCACCTATTCCTGCCTTCTGATTTTCTTGGGTCAGTTCCACTTGGGACTCTCTATAAGGAAGACGTATTTCCCAACCTCAGGGAGGGTGTCTACAGTCCTGGTTCTAGGCTCCACAGCGCAATACTATCCAGTACACTTAGGGATGAGGAGTCCTCCCCATGGACAGCTGGTCAACCTTTCCAGTACCCCATTGACTCCTCCCCTATCCACCTCCCTGAGGTTATACATGAAGCCTAGACTTGACCCAGAACCTTCCAAGAAGCCAAGCTGGGGCAGTAGGAGGACCATTCCTCAATTCCTCACTTTCCACTCCAAAAGGCCAGCCCCCAGGATGATCCAAGTCATCTCCTGGCCACCCTCAGAAAGGGCGGCAATAACCCTAGTCATGTCAACTCGTGGGCATGCCAGCCTAGCCAAGAACATTGGAAATCAGTCACTCTCGGGCACTCATCACCTCACATTCATAACATAAGAGCCTTGGACCAGGAGCAGGAAGCCTTGTTTCTGGTGCTGGCCTTGCCATGAATTCACGGTGATAAGCTACTCTCTCTTCCTGCCATCTGTAAAACCGGGAGGGCAGGAACAGGTGGCTGCCAAGGTCCTTCTCATCTTCCTAAAATCCTGTTTTAAAGTTCCCTGCCCCCAGTTCAGATATCCTATGATGCTATAATTTCCATCTTCCCAAGTACTACTTTTACAACATTACCCCCTTCTCAAAAACTCCTATGGTAATGCCCTAACTGCTCAAACCTTCAGCCTCCAGCTCAAGGTCCTCCAAGCCTGGCCACAGGCTGCTCTGACTTTCTCTCTCACTAGCCGCCTTCTCATCCCTGCCGAGCACAACAGGAAGCCTCCTTTCTGCCTCTTGGCCTCTGACAACGCCCTCCCTTTCTGCCAAATCCTCTAAGACTGAAGTACAAGGCCCACCTCTTCCAGGAAACTCCCAGCAATCTCTCCTCCACTTCCAAGCTCCTCCAGATCTACCTGTCAAATCCACTCCCTGGACCTGGAGCAGGTGTCAATGCCTGCAATATGAGCTGACTTATCATCTGGGAACAGAAATGGAACCTAGGCTTCCTGACAGAAGGGCGCACCTCTGGCGTGGGCATAAATTTGTACGTAGTGGATGGCCAATATTTTCGAGACAAACATGAAGGGAAGTCCACGGGGTGGGGGAAATCCCCATGGTCTAGAACCTTGATGCTAGACGAGGCCCCCCCCCCAGGAAAGGATGACCCCCTGTGATAGGGGGTGGACCACAAGCCCAAGCATCACCTAAAGGCCATGGGATATCCTGGCTGACAAGAAAATGTCCCAGGCTAAGGATCAGCTCCAAACATTCCCCTCCCCTGAAGGCCTCACCACATACCGTCAATATAGGCTTGGGTTCTCTCGTCATATGGAGGCATCTTGTCCTTCTCTACTTCCTCTTCCACCTTGACTGACTGTGGGGGCAAGGGCTCCTGAGGGGAGAGGTGACAGACAAGGTGAACCCAAGCCCCTGGCTCCCCGCTTTACCACTTGGGCTATGCACTCCTGGCCTGCCCTATTACCTCTCTCCCCCGAGAACCTTTACCTCCACCGCATGGCTTCAGGTCCCCAGGCCCTGAGCCCAAACAAAGGCCGATCCAGGCTGGGCTGGGGGGAGGGGAAGGGCAGGCATAGCCGACCACAGCCTCCCCCGAGCACCAGGGAGCAGCATCCCTTTTAAGCCATTCCCCTGGGTCCTGAAGGAGAGATGTTCCTGCCTTTCCCCGCCCAAGCTGGAGTCAGCCTGAGCAGCTTTAGTGCCCACCTCCACTTCGACACCCCACCTGCCCCCAGCCTCCTCGGAACCCAGGCGTGCTTCCACTCGCCGCACCTTGTCCTCCTCAGGGTTCTCCTCTTCTTCGTCCTCTTCATCCTCCTCTGTTTCTTCTTCCAACCCAGGACCTTCACCTTCATCCTCTAATGGGGATGGCTCTTCTGGAGCCTCTAACATCTTCTCTGTTGTGGCCTCAGCAAGGGGTGGCACAGGAGGCAGGGCCTAGGGGACAGAGGCAATGCTTTCTCCTTCCTACTGCCAGGTCTGGAGGCTAGAGATCCCCTCCCCCTCCTCTTCAATCCCAGCACACCCTCCGTCATTTGTGCCTGTGGGCTCCGATTCCCCCCCTCACTGGCTAGCTTTTTTAGGTTAAGAAAGTCCCTAAGTTAGGGAAAGACCCTGAGGAATCAGAATGGGGTAGGCAGAGTCACTGGAGAGCAAAGGGAGCACGGCTCTTGTCAGACGAGGGATCACCTGAGGGTGGGGGGCACTGCCACTGTGACCACAGGCTAGGACAGTGGGTGGGGAGCACGAAGGGTGGCAGCTGCCTTGTTAATCAGGAATGGCAGCATCTGCTGCCGCCAGGACCAGCTGGTTGGGATGGATGGGCTCCAGGGAACGAAATCTTAGCCCCTGCTCTGCCTCCCCCAGGCTGGCGGATCCTTTGTGAGGTCACTGAGTCCCTTCGGTCTAGCTCAGGCCAGCCACGTGCGCTGCTGTCTCCCCCTGCTGGCTATAGGCCACCCCAACACCCACCTATGCCTGCTGGACCCTGTCCCCCTTCCCTCGGCTGCCTGGCCCAGGATACCCACCTCCTGCCGGTACTTATCCTTGATGGCTGCCCACAGGCCTTCTTGGAAGCTGGCAGCATCCACATGCAAGGCCTCTCCTAGCAGAGCCTGGAGCAGAGGAAGACAAGAGCAGCACCTACTCTGACAGTGCTTAAAGGTTGCTAAGGGCCTTCCTTACAACCCCGCTGTGAAGTAGGGCACGCAAGTCTTGGTATTCCCATTTTGCAGATAAGAAAACAGGCCAAGAGAAGTTACGTTACTCAAGCAAGGTCACACAGTTAGGACGATTTGGAATTAGAACCAGGGAGGAGGCCCTGGGGTGGAGGATGGCGCCGCTCAGAGCGCCCTCTGCCCACCCCCTCTAGCTTCAGCCTCTATCACTACCCTTCAGGAACCCTGGGTGATTCTTATTTAGGCCACAGAGCCAAGGATGATGGGAAGACAAGAGAGACCCCAGCCCAGGATGGGCTGGCATCGCCCCTCACACAGAATTGGGGACTTCCTGGAGGAGCTCCCTGCACCGGCACTGCCCCCTGCTGGCAACGCCTACCCAGGGAACTTCCCCCTCCCCGCCGCATCTTCAGGAAGCAGAGTCACTAAAGGAAGGAGAGAAGGCTCCCTCTGCCCACCCACCACCAGTCAGCAAACCCCCCGGGAGTAGTAGGCATGGGTGCACACGTCACAGAACACACGGCTCCCACCTGAACCCCACTGTTACCAGGGTTGGCATTTCTCCCTTAGGCCCAGCCACAATAGAGTAGGCAGGACATGCACGTCTGCACCCCCACCTCCCCATTCCTGGGGGGTGTTCAGCTACCCAGCTGGCCTTTAAGGGAAGACTCAATCACCAAGCCAGGAAGGTGCCTCTAGCCAACCCCAGCAGAGCTGCTGCTGACCAAGTCACCCACGAGGAGGTATGGGACAGGAGGAAACAGTCCTGCTCAGGCGTCTGGGTCCTGTCTAGGGGTCTTCCGCTAAAGGACCCTACAAGGCTTGGGGAGTGTGGCCAAGGGCCAGCTCAGAGTAGGGTATTAGCTAGTCTCTACCTTTCACCTCCCAGCTTCACCTCGTCCTTGGGAAACCCTGGCTGGGGGTTATGGGCACATACTGCAGGAATAGCTAATGGGGTGACGACCCGGTTACCTGGGCTTCTGCCTCTGACAAAGCCCCATCACCATCTGGGTCCAGTTCTGGGTGAGTCTGAAGCTCAGCCACGGAAATCCTGGAAAGTGAGACAGGATGAGGGAGTGGCTCGTCACAGAAGTGCTCATCTTAGTGGCAAGTGGTAAGAAAGGGCTTACTTAGCGTGTGGAGGGGAGAGGACAGCTGGCGAAGGCTGATAAACCACTTCCCCAAAACATGACCTTCTACTCACAGAATTAGAACTTACATTCTTTCTCGGTCTCAAATCACCTCAGAAGTCAGGTAGTATTGCACAGTGAACAGAGAGGCAGACAGAGTAAGACCTGAGTTCAAATCCTGCCTTAAGACACTTGGTAGCTTTACAACCCCAGACAAATCAATTAATCTGGCTGGGCCTCAGAGTTCCTAATCTGTAAAATGACCAAGTTGGACTTGGTGATCTCTAAAGTCCCTTCTTTCTAGCTCTAATTCTATGATCCTGTTACTATTTTAGATTCAGGGATAACAGGAAGAGCTGAGAACATGCCACTTTCTCAAGCCCGTACCAAAGCTACCTTCCCTGTCTTCAGCCAATCTTTTGGCATTATCATTAAACACCTAGGCAGGATAGCCAACCTCAAGCTAAAAGCATGTCCCATAATCTAAGGCAGCTATGACTTCAGAGCTGAGAGCTGAGGTGAGCATGTCTCCCCCCAAAGGCCTTCAGGTTGGAAGCAGTCCCTTCTCCCTAGGGCGGGGGGGGGGGGGGAGCCACGGAGGTCTGAGATCGTCTCTGTAAATTGCTCTTCCTATGAAAGAGCTGGGACCCTGAAGCAGACAGGAGCTGCAGGGAGGAGGCTCCAGGAAGCAGTACCCTCTGCAGCCCGCAGGACTCACACTCCATCGGTGTCGTCATCCAGCTCCTGGAAGGCACTGGCAGCCTGCTCCTGGTCCCTCGCGGCCCTGGCTGCCGCCTGCTGCTCTGTTCATACACAACCAGCTCCATTACTCCATTACTCCATTACTCCTGGCAGGGAGCTGGGGCTGTTCCCAAAGTCAGGAGAAGTGGAGAAGCAAGGGGGCACTTCCTCCTCCCCCACCCCGCCACCGCAGGCCCTGGTCCTGTTTGTCTCTGCCGAGAACGTCCTTTCCTAACCAAGCTCCAGCCTCCGAGGCTCACTTCCCGCCCATTCCCTTCCCTGACTCCTCCAGCTCCAATCTCACTCTCAGCACTGGTCCTTAGTGTGGCTAGCAATGCCCAGTAACAACAAACGCCGTCCCATCCTGTGCTGGGACAGAGGGCACAGGGGACTTCCTGTGGAACCGAGGGCCGTGGAAGGCCTTTACGGGAGGTCACCTTCCCACAGCCTCTGGTGCCGCTCCTTGAATTCTTTCTCGGGCTTCTCTGCTTCTTCCTTCACTGCTCTCAGCATCGCCACCTGCTCCTCCAGGGCCTTCTTCGACTCTTGTAAACCAAGGAGCCTGCTCTGGTTGTGCAAGAGAGAAAGTATTTGAGTACTGCCTGCGTGAGGGCCAGGCCGGCCAGGGGCAGAGTCCCCAGGGCTGGCCCAAGGGGAGGGGGAACAGCTACCTCCTCCCATTCAAGCAGCCCAAGGATGTAGCTGAGGCTGGGAGAACTGCCCCCCACCCCCATCCCAAGCCATTCAATCAAATGCAGAGGTAAAATGAGCTTTAGGGATCATCTAAGACAGGAGTGGGGAACCTGTGGCCCCCGAGCTCCTCAACAGTGGTCCTTTGACTGAATCCAAACTTCACAGAACAGATGTCCCCTTAATAAAAGGACTTGTTCTGTGAGGTCTGAACTCCAGGACCCAGAGGACCACGTGTGGCTTAGAGGTCGAAGGTTCCCCACCCTTGCCTAAGGCAATCCCCTCATTCTACTAAGGGGAAAACTGAGTGCCAAAAAGGGGAAAGGCCTTGTTCAGTGTCACCTGGACAGGACAGAAAACTCAGCCCCAGTCATTTGGCTCCAAGTTAAATTCCTCTACTACTACAAGCTGATAATTTTCCAAGTTCATTATCCCCTGCCAATCCCACTCTTTTCGCTGCCCTATGACTAGCAGCTGCCCCGAGCCGGCTGGGCAAAGGTCAGAGAACCAACCCTGCTACAGAAAAGCTGTTCCTGCCTCCTTCCCACTGGCTGGGCACTCATGGGTCCGGATTAGAAAGGGAATCGCCTACATCTTTAATAAAGAAATCAAACGGAGGGTAGAGTCACCAAGTGAACTGCGCAAGGGAACAGACATTCAACCTCTCTGATGAGCAGCAGGGATTCAATTCATCAAAGGCAAGAGAAGGGAGGAATTAAGGGACTTATGTCTGCTCACCTCAAACACAATTCTATTTGCCTTGCTCTGACACGAACTTGGGGCCAAGCAAGGGGACGTAGGAGCCAAGGAGATTAGGGGTCTAGGAGGGAGAACAAGACCTTCTTGCAGATCACACTAACATGAGACTCAACAGTTTCCATCAGAAAGATAATCCCTAATCCCCTCCCTCTACCTCTAGGCTCCTGATAAAATCAGGGATCACCAGAATTAGCTTAAATGGACCTCGGGAATCATCTTTGCCAACTCTCTCACTTCACAGGTGAGGAGACACACCCAGAGATACCAAGGATTGAAGGGTCATGCTTAAACCCTACCCTTTCACCAGAGGGGGGCAATCCCTATGGAGCAGAGTGGAAACACCACCCTGACTCACCCGCTTTTCCTCCTGGCCCTTCTTTCCTTCCTCAATCAAGATCTTCTTGAGCCGGAAGCCCTCACGGGCAACTTCTGCCATCTGTTCCAGAGTCTCCTTCTCCTTCCGGCCCATTTCCCTGGGTGGGCAACCAACGTGGATGGAAAGGAATCACACAAGGGTTAAGGGAAAGCAAAATTCCTAGAACCAAACCTCTCAGAGCATTCCAATGGGATTTCCTGACTCCCCATCCATCAAGGGTGGTAGGTTCTAAGCCTGGCTTTGAGGAATCCTGAATATGGGGAGAATGATGAGTGTGCCAGTCCCAAGCTTATAGCTGTGTGTGTGCATATACTTGAGGACCTAAGCCCACTCTTGAGACTGGGAATGGAGGCCTGGCACCTCTGAGGGAGAAGGGAGTTGGTAGTAGATGAATCTCCCCCTAAACGCCCAACCACGTACCTGCATGTGTTGTCACAGATGACACCACTGTTGTACTCATCTGTGGCATCACAGCAATCTAAGGGAAGGGAGCAGAGAGTAGCCATTGAGACCAGATCTGGTACCAGGGCACCTGCCCTAGCCCTGGCCTCTAGCCAGCCCAGCTTTAAAAGGAGTCTTACCACAGATCCCATCATTGACACGGCTCGAGGGGATATAGTGGGGCTTATAGCCAGCATTGGTACAGTGGAAGCGTCCCTCCGGGCAGGCAGCAGTCCCTGACGGTGATGGAGAAAGGGAGAAGTTATTTATTACATCCTACTGAAATAAGCTGATCCAAGGTGAAAAATGAAACAACACGCAGAGAGGTAGGACAGAGAATGGAGAGACAAAGGGAAACTGAGGCAGGCAATAAAGAAAGGCATACGAGACCTACAGAGTCACAAATATAGACACAGAGGAAAAAGAAATGCAGACCTAGATAGACACAGAGATATGGGGATGGAGAAGCAAGCATGGAGATCAATGTGCAAACTGCCTTCAGGATCGACAATAAAAACTTCCATTTGGCTTTTAAAGCCTTTCATAACCTGACTCCTGTCTATTTTTCTGGTCTTCTTACATTTACCAGACCCATACTCTGCAAGGCAGTGACACTGGCTTCCTTTCTGTTGTTACTCAAATAAGACTGTCCACTTACCAACTCCCAGGCATTTTCACTGACTGTCTCCCATACCTGGAATTCTCTTCACCCTCATTTCTATCTCCTGGCTTCTTTCTAATCTCAGCTGAAATTCCTTTCAACAAGAAATCTTTCCTAGTCCTCCTGAAGCAGGACTTAGTGTCTTCCCTCTGAGAATATCTCCAATATACCTTGTATAGATCTTGTCTGTCCGTAGTAGTTTGCATTTCGTCTCCTTTATTAGACCACGGGCATGGATTGGTTTTTTTTTTCTTTTTTGGCTTTCTTTGTATCTGTAACACTTAACCTGGTTCACATAGCAGACACTGAATAAATCCTTGTTGATCTGACAGACAGAAACTGACAAACCCAGATGGACACACAGATAGAGACAAATTGGCAGACAGACCCATGTGGACATACAGAGAAAAATGCAGAGACATATGGAAAGATGGACATGGGCAGTTTGAAGGACAGGTAGATAAACTAACAGAGATGCATACGGCTAGACACAGACAAGCATATTAAGAAATATATGCACAGACAAAGACTGACATATAGACAGAAAAGAACAGAGACAGGTGGACACAAAAACAGACAGGTAGGAAGATATCCTCACAGACATAGAGATAAACTGACAGCAACAGAAAAACCCAGATGGACTAACACATGAGTAGACAGACACATAGAGGCAGATGGATGGATGCAAACAGAGAGAGAGACACAATGAAAGGCATATCTGAAAAGATGCAGAGACAAATAGACAACAGATGGACAAATGGACAGGCCAATACAAACAGAAGGGAGCTATGAACAGATGCTGAGACAGATGAATGGGCACCAAGAAAGACACATCTTATATGCTAATGGAGAAATAGAGGAACAGAAAGAGAGAGACAGTTAAACTCACAGCCATGTGGACAGCCTAGACCAAGCTCAGACATATAGAGACCAAAAGAGTGACCAACACAAAGACATCAAAAGATAAACAAGAAAAAGAGGAAGCCCAAGTAGAACCCCTTTCTCAACTGATATATAGCCTTTACCCTCCCACTTGAAGATGCAGTTAGGCCCACACAGGGGAGACTTCTCTTGCCCCTTCTATGCTCCTCCAGTGGGTCCCTCATTCCCACCTGGTTCATCAGAGCCATCCTGACAATCACAGTAGTCATCATTTACTTGATCAAAGGGGATAGTGGAGGATCCATCCAGGCAGGTGAAGGGCTTAGATTTATCATAGAAATGATGATCTGAAGAGAGTAAAGCAAAATAACTTTAGCTTCCTACCCACATAAGATCAGTGGACCCAATGAAGCTCCACTGACTACAAAAGGTTTCTAACAGTCTCCCGTGGACCAATGCATAACATTAGGTGCAAATACTAACCTTACAGCTTTGAAACTCAAACATATTTTTCTTACCCAGCCTCCCACCCAAGAACAGGAAATTTAGACAATGCTCAGCAAAGCCAGGTTTTGTTCCCACTACAACCCCCAGTTCCACTGACTTTAGGGGGTTGCTAGAGGCTCCACGGTACCTCCTCCTAACTAGCCTCTGGCCTCCTGCAAAGAACTCACTGGTAAGGGAGACACCTCGAGGCCTTTTGACTTCAACGGCAGCTGTAGCAACGCTTAGCAGCAGCAGTAAAAGCGGCAGAAACATTGTGCTGGGTACAGGAAGCAGCAGCAATTCCTAGGGCACGAAGGAAAGAAAACACATGGGAGGTGAGGGTCTAAGGAAAGAGATGCCTATTCTTACGTTGCAAACTACAATAACAATCACAAAGCAGACGATCATCGTCCTCATGCACTAACTTACCCGCCTCCCAGCCAATGGGGCCCACCTACTTCTTGGCCAATGGGAGCCCCCTTCTCAGCCAATGGGAACTCCCAACCCCCTCTCAGCCACTGAGAGCCCCTTGCCCTCCTCTGAATCTTTCATCACCCCCTCCCAACCAACGGGAGACCCGACCTCCCAGTCAAAGGGAGTCCCTCACACCCCTCCCTAGCCAACGTTGGTCACTCACCACAAATGTAGGCCCTCATCAGCTTCCCCCCCCCCCCCCCCCCCCGTGGGCCCACCCGGGGTCGAAGCCAGAAGTCACTCTTGTCCACCCCTGCTTCCCAGCACACGCCCGATCAGGCTCCAGCGAGGAACAGGAAGCGGAAGCATGGAACTCCAGAACTTCCGGTCTACTGTCCAATCCTGGCTTCCCGGAAGAGGGGCGGTAGCGACCACTCTTGGTAGCCATGTTGAGAGTGGCGAAAAGGAATCGCAAGCTATGACAGCCATCTTGGGTAGGACAGTCAGAGCCGGGGTCTCACGCTTAATGGCGGCTGCGGGCGCCATCTTGGTAGCGGAGCGACTTAATGTTGAAAAGACAGAAATGAATGAAAAATCCCCCTATCTTTTTCCCCTGCCTTCAGTGATAGTTCTGGCCCGATCTCCAGAGACTATAAGTCCGAAATCATACGGCAGTTGTCTGGGGCCTCCGCCCCCGCCACCCTTCACCCCAACCTTCCTCCCCTCCCTCATTCCTTCTTTCCCAGCATGCCCCGCCCAGCCTCTAGGCTGGTCCCACTTCCCATCCCGTGGCGTAGCACCAGCCAATGGAAACGATCGCGTGGGACGCGGCCGGTTTCCATAGTAGCGGACGGCGGGAGGAGGGGGAGATGGTTTCCTAGCAACGGAGACAGATGCTGAGAGGCTCCATCTGGACCTAGTCTGTGTGGGAGTCCCAGGGACCCTCGAATCTGAGCCGCAGGCGACAGCAGAGCTCCCTCCAGGAATGTCCAGGCGCTAGCCTTTCCCACAGTCCCCTCTCGTCCTGGGACAGTCCTCTGAACCCTGGGAATAAGCCCTCAGATCTCCTCTGTTCTTCCTGGACCTCCAATCCTTATTTTTCCTTCTCTCCCCTTAGTTCCTTCTCTGACTTCCCAAGGATACTCTTCCCATTTTCTAAATCCCACAGGCTTGGCCACAACCTGCTCCCTCAACCCAGGCAGATATCTTCTTTTTTCTGTACCCCAGTCATAGTCATTTCTGTTCCCTTCCCCCTAGGGTAGGGCTCTATCCTACCCTTCATCCAGAGGCTAAGGAGACTCCCTTGCAAAAAATTAAACATGGTTCCCCTGCATTCCCCAGCTCCTTCCCCCTTTCCCAAGACCCGTTCTTTCCGTTCCCTCCGTTCCATCTCCTCAAGGCTAGCCTCAAAGCATCAGGCAAAACATATACAGAGTCATCCACATTTCAGTCACTCTGGAGTGAAGCCTCCTGTTCACGTGCAGATTTCTGAGCTGCACAGGAAGATCCAGTTGTTGGGTAAGCATGTGTATGGGGGTAAGGGGCAGCTGAGGTGGCCTAAGCCACTGGGGAGGAGTTGGAAAGAAGTTGGGCTCAGGGAGAGATAAGGGAATGATTGTGACCAGAACTAAGAAAGAAGGGGTGGTGAGATTGGGGTCAGAATATTGAGGTCATGGCCAGACCAGAGGCAACTTAGGGAGTCCACAGTTTGAGAGAGAGATCAAAAACAGGGCACTAATCAAGCCAGGGTCAGCTGGGGAGAGGGCCATAGGAGTGAAGAGAAGAGTAGGATTAGCAAATAGTGGGCTGATGGGGGAGATGGAAGGAGAAATTCAGGAAGAGGGTAAGAAATGGGGTATTTGTGGGTAGGACAACAAAGGTTGAAGGATGGGAATGATAGTTGGGAAAAGGAGGAGATAGGAAGTAGGATGTGGCAGTATAGTGGGTACTCACACTGTGCTTTGCCCCCAGAGGGCGAACGTAAGTGCTTCTATGAGAGCACTCAGTGGACCATCAAAAAGAACAAGGAAACTATTAAACGTCTTCGAGAGGAGAACAAGATATCGTACCAGAAGCTGTCAGACTTGTTCAGTGTGAGGGCTGGAGTGGAGGGAGCAGAAGAGGGGACAGGGTGGGGGGAAGCAGGAGGGGGGAAGGAGACTCCCATGCTCCACTGACCTTTAAGGGGAAAGCTCCTGGGCTGGTCTAGACCAAGGCCACCTGGGTCATGGGAGCAGGCTGTGTCAGGAAAGCAAGGCTCCTTCCCTTTCTTTTCCAAGAGGGGAGTGTTTGTGTGGGGAACTTTGCTATTGATGCCCTCCCTGGTGGTGGAAACAAGCCTGCGGGTTAGGTAGGGTAGGGAATGTTTTTGATTTCTTGACTTCACAGGGTGATGAGAAAGTGCTGCATTGGGTCATCAGAGAGTGGAAGGAGGAAAAGCCTTATCTGAAAAACAAGAATGGGGAGGTAGGTTGCAAAGGTAGCCTCAGCCATGGCAGGACCCTCAACCTCCAGACTTCTAGGAGGCCCTTTTAATAATTATAAACCTCCTTTTCTGAGTCCTGGATCCTGACTCAGAATGTGTACGCATGTGTGTGTATACACACATTTTATATACATACACACATGATATGTGTATGTGTGTATCAGCTGTAATCATATGTACACACATTTATATATGTGCATATGTTATATGCATGTATGTATCAGCTGCCTGTATCATATGTACATGCACATTTATATACACATATGTGATATGTGTCTATATCAGTTGTCTGTATCATATGTACACACACATTTATATATACACATTTGATATATGCATGTATGTATCAGCTGTCTGTATCATATGTACACACATATACACATGTGTGTATGTATCACCTGTCTGTAATCGTATGTGCACACATTTCTGTATATACACATATAGCACATATACACATATACATATGATATGCACACATATGTGATATGTGTAGCTATGTATCAGTTGTGTGTATCATATGTACATACACATTTATATCTATCCTCTGATCTTGGCCCCCAGGAAGCCCTGGCCCTTATGGATCACCGGCTGAATGAGAAGATGAAACAATTAAATGCCCTTCGACATGAAGCAGAACAAAGACGGCAGCGAATAGAAGAGCTCCAGTTGCAGTATTCACTTCGAGAGCTAGAGACAAATGAATTTCAAGACACTGATACTGAGGTGGCAAAGGTGGGAACGAAGCCCTGCCCAATCCAAGCAGGGTGGGTTATGGGAGCAGAGAGCTCACAATTGGTCAATGACCTGGAGAGAGGAGGAATCATGACTGATCACTGCCACCTCTCCCCCAGACCATGCGCAACCTGGAAAATCGACTGGAGAAGGCCCGGCTGAAGGCCGATGAGGCAGAACACATCACTCGAGTTTACCTGCAGTTGAAGGCTTACATGCAGGTGTGGTGTGTGGGAATGGCAGGGTAGAATGAATATAAACGGGTTAGATGTGTGTGGTGGGGTCCTATATGTAGGGACTTATCGTAAGGAAATTGCTTTGCAGATCTAGATAAAGTTAAGGAGGGGGCTTGGCTCTGTGGTGAGAATCTGGGAAGATTAGCGGACCCTCTTCCCTGGCTCTCACACTCCAGCCTGGCCCTCCCCTCCCCTTCTTTCCCAGGAGGAGAGCCTGAACTTTGAGAACAAACTGGATGCAATGGAAGGTGAAGTCAGTCGACTAAGACGTGAGTTCTCAGAACTGCAGAATGTGGGTCAGCAAGCCACAGATGCTCGGGATGCTGCCAAGGTATGGCATGGCCTCACTCTGGTCCTCACCTCACCTCAACCTGGCCAGGCCATTGCAGATCACACCTGGGCGCACTTAGCCCCAACAAGCCTGTAGATCCAGCCTCCTGAGCTCTTGGTGGCTGAGCTGGTACTGGAGCAGGGGCCTTGAGTAGGTCAGCAGCAGCCCCTCCTCCTCTGTTGCAGGGGCAGGAACCCTGAAGCTTGGCCCCTAGGGCTTCCTATACCTTCTCTCTGACCTTCTTGCCACCTCCCCCCCCCCCCCGAGGGAACTTCAGAAACTGGAGGAAAACTTATTCAAAGATCGGAAGGAGCGAGACAGGGTACTGATGGAGGCCAGGAAGCGGACAGAAGAGAAGAAGCTTCAGAATGAGCGGGTTGAGAGGAAGGTGTGTGGACTCAGGTCAGAAGAGGCAGGGGAGGAAGGTGGCAGAACTGGGGACACTACCTTCCATGGCACCCACTGGTATCCACAGACCCAGCAGCGAGATCAAGCGCCTCTTCGCTCTGACGAAACCTCAACCGATGCCCAGAGGACAAAGCCAGACAAGCTAAAGAGTCGATGGACCACGTATCAGACAGAGCTTGCATTTGACAGGCTCAAGGTTGCCACTGGCATATCTGACCCCAGCGTGAGTTACCCACTCACCCTACCTAACTCAGGGAGGGTACTCCAGGTGGGGGGAAGAAAACTTGAGGCTGTAGAGGTTCCCTGGGGGCCCGACCCCAGACACGCGAAGAAATAAGCACCCATAAATTGAGGGGCACCTTCCACATTGGACAAGATGTAGAAGAGCCTGCAAGGCTCATGCCACTGATCTTCCTCTGTCTCTATCTGTCTCCGTCTCTGTCCCTCTCTTGCCCTTTGACTCTGGGGGTAGGTAGGTCAGATACCCGGTATGTTCCAATGTGTGGGAATGACTCCATTTCTATTCCATGTCTCTGACAAGGCGGGAAGGAAAGCAGTCTGGGTTCTCCTAGGTGTATCTGTACCCCTGAGTGAGTGGATGTGGGTGGGTGGGGCAGTTTGTGGTGAGCAGATTCTTAGCCCAGAGTGAGACATCCGCACACCTGGAGTCCCTGAAGCAAGAGAATGAAGTGATGCTGGCAATGCTCAAACAAGATAAGCAGCGTCTGCAGCAGGAGCTCACTCAGCTCAAGTACTCCGGGGAGGCCAAGGCCATCAGGTCTGAGGCGGGGAGGAAGCAGGGTGCTGGGGGGGAGGGGATAGGGTGTGATCCCAAGGCCCCTCACACCTGGTCCTCCCTCTCCCCACTGCCCAACCCAGGGACAACCAGGTCATGGCTGAGCTTCAAAAGCATCTGGACACCCAGGAGAAACAAATAGCAGAAGCTAAGGAGAAGCTGCAAAATACCATTTTGGCACTGCAGGTTGCCAAGAATGGGGTGGAGCACCTGGCCGAAAAATTGCAGCATATTCCAGTGGTATATGTCCCAGACATGTGAATCCCTCCTCCACCCCCTTCAAGTCCCCTATTTATCCAGCTTCAACATGTTACCCTATGATGCCTAACCCTTCCCCCCACCACTTTCCCAGGGTCTCTCACAGACACCCCCAAGCTCCCTGTCACTCCCTCTCTTTGAGGCATCACCTATAAACTTCCTGAGACCTTGGTTCCCCTCCAACCACATTCCCTAGGAGAAAAGCAAAAAGGAGCTAAACCCTAATACCTTAGATTATGTGCTGGACCTCATGGCTCAGAATGAGGAGAAATTGCTCAAACTTCAGAGTGATATGGAAGGACACGATGTGCCAGATCTACTGCACCAGCTTGCTGAGCGGGAGGTAGGAGCCCTGAAGGGGTCTAAATGGGGAACTGTTCCAGATTTTCTCTTTCCATCATACCCCCTGCTCCTAGATATTGAATTCCTAGACGGACCTCCCCCCTGTTCGGTGGGGATATTTGTAAAGGCCTTAGTACAGTGCTTGGTACAAAGGTGGCACTTAAGAAATGCATCTTTCCTTGCTTCTCTTTCCCCCAGCAGCCCTTTACTCTGTCCTTTCCTCCCACAGTTCTATGCCACCCTGGAAGGGAAGCTTCCTTCTCACAACACCCGCATCTTCGTGCCCACATCTGCCGCCCAGGACATCTTCTTTGGTGAGTCAACCTTGGGGTAGGTAGGGAAAGGGTTGTATCAGGCAAGGAGCCAGTAACAGGCAAGGAGAGATGCACAAGAAATCTGTGTGCTGGGGGCAGAGAAGGTTCTCATGTCCCCTACCCCTCTTCTTCATCTTGCTCATGTCTCCCCCAGATGAGGAAGAGAGTGAGGAGGAGACTGGGGAGATAGTGACCAGAGCATCCTTGAAGTTCCAGTCTCAGAAACTCATAGAATCCAAAAGCAAGAAGAGAGGCCGGTCTCGAACTCGAAAGCGGACATAGATGCCACAACCTCCTGGTCTGGCTGCCAGTGCCCCTCTAGGGGGGCAGTCACAGATCCCAACCTGGGCCAGTTAGAGCATCTCATGGCCCTGCTTCTTTCTCAGGGTTCTTTCTCAAGGGCCTGAATGGTGGACCTGGGTCCTCTCCCCTTTTTCAAGATCTCCCTAGAGGATTGGGTCCCCTCCTACCTAGGAGTAAGTCTTTGCCTACATAGCTGGGCAAGAGCAGTTTGAGGCCTTTTCCACCCCTAAGGCCTGGGAGAGTAGCAATGTCCCTGTCCCTTGGGAAGCAGGCCCAGGGCCTTGCTGGCCCAGCTTAGGGGAGGTAGGACCTAGTTCCTGACTGTTCCCACCATCAATCATAAATCTCCTGGGGCTGGGAAGGTCTCAAAGGCCCTGTATGACACTCAGGGTCCACTGCCCGCCTCCAAGTAGTCATTTTTTTTTTCAGGCAATAAAAAATTACAAAGGAGCCTGAACTGTGTTCCTGCGTCTGCCTGCTGGGGGCCTCTGGTGCTGGGAGGAAGGGTCACTGGCATGGGCCCTAAAGGGTAGAGGGAGGGATGCAGAGACAGAGCTTTAAATGTTGACATTTGTATAGGACTGTGAGATTTACAAAGTGTTTTTCATATTATTCCATTTGCTCCTCACAACAGCCTTGTGACGCATTGTTATCCCCATTTTACAGATGAGGAAACAGGTTCAGCGATTAAGTGACTCGACCACGGTCACACAGATAAGTAGAGACAGATAAATAGGGATCTAGAGAAATAGACTGCCTGGGACGAGACTTTGGCCAAGAAAGATAGAAAGATCAAGGCTGGTTAGGTTTCAGGTCCTGGTGGGGATTGGGGGGGGGAGGCAAGGAAGGGGAGGGCTTCCCAGGTGTGTGTATTTGAAGGGCACCTTCCCCCCCAGCCCCCACAAAAGGGCTCCTGGAAGTTTGGAAAGTACTTCCCGGTTTGTCCAGGGCCAGGTGGGCAGTGACCAGGACTCCCCGCCCCCTGACCGGCCTCCTGTCCCGTGTCCCCATGCTGGCTGTAATGGAAATAGCCCGCCCAGCACCCACCTACCTAGGCGGTCAGCGGTGCGCACCCAACCCCGCCCCGCGCCCGCAGTTTTAACCGCCTGAACCTGAGTGACCCCCTATCCCTGTGCGCAGCTGGGCCCTCGCCCCAAGGCTCCCCCCCAGCCCCCGCCTCCCTCCTCTGCCCGGTCCGCCATCGTCCCCCCAGCGCAGACCCCTCTCCCGACCCCGACCTCGACCAGAGTAGAAGCCCGGCTGCTGCTGCTGTAGCTGCCGGAGCCGCAGCGCTACGCTTTCAGGCTGCTCTGTCTGCTCTTCCGTCTCAGTCCCTCCGCCGCCGCTGCTGCCGGAGCCGGAGCCAGAGTCCAGCCAGGAGCTGCCCGGCCAGCTGCAGGTGTCCGAGCCATGGAGCGGCCCCCGGGAAAGGAGCTCGCCTTGGTAACCAGGACGGGGAAGGGAGGCAGAATGAGAAGACTCGGAGAGGCGGGAGGGAGATAAGTTCCCTGTCCCGGGCTTCCTCGCCAAGTCACCTCAGGTCCCAAATCTGGCTCCGGGTCCCCGCAGGCGCCGCTCCAGGAGTGGGGCGAAGAGGAGGTGGACGGAGCCGTGTACAATGTCACCCTGCGGAGGCAGCACAGTCAGCGACCTGGTCCGGGTAGGGACCGAGAGAGGGAAAGGGGCCAGGTGAGGAATTGGGCTGGGGGAGCAGGAGGTGGGGCCAGGTGAGGAGCAGGGCAGGGGATAGGAGGGTCCTACATTCCAGGCCTGGAATGAGGAGGGGTGGGGAGCAGAGTCCCGGGCTGGGGGCTAGGAGCTAGGAACTAGGTGGGGCAGGGCCGGGGGGCCTAGAGGGTTTTGGGGTACTTGCTGCCAGAGGCTGATTGAGGCTCGCCCCCTCAAGGCTCCAGATCCTGGGCCGTCTGCAGATTTTGTGCACTATCGCACTTGCAAAGTTCGAGCACTGCGCGCAGCTCGAATAGAGCGTCTGGTACTGGAGTTGGTGCAAGGGGATCATGAACAGGACCCTGCCTTCGTGCCCGCCTTCCTGGCCACTCACCGTGCCTTCATACCCACAGACCATGTACTGGGTCTCCTGCTGCCGCTGCGGCAGGCCCCAAGACCCCAAGGGTTAGTGAGGTTCCTCGGCCACTTCACCCCTCATCTTCTCTGTGTCTCCCTGCCTGTCCATCAGGTTTTTCTCTCCCCTTTCAGAATCTCCTGCCTGTCCTTCCTTCCATTCTTGTCTTCTTGTTCCATAATAGATGCTCCTTCCCAGGTCACCTTCCCCTTCTCTAACTCCCCTCATTCCCAACTCCAATGACCATTCAATCACGCTAAGGACCTGATCCTGTTACACCCCCCCCCCCCCCACATACACACATACGGTGTAAGTCTTTTAGGTTGGCCTCCCATCCAGATATTTCCATATCCTCATGAAACCTCCCTCCCTCCCTCCCTCCTACTATCCGTCTATTTCCTCCTTCCAGTCTCCATTTACTGATGCTTCCCTGGGGCTGTTTTCCAGGGAAGGACAGGAGGAACAAGGTCAAGGTCACTTGGATCAGAGCCAGGAGCAGGAGTCCAGGTTGGTACCTGTTTTTGTTTTTTTTTTCCACCATGGCTATGAGCCATTCACTGGTTGGGTCTCCAAGGATGAAAGATATATGGCTGGGTCAGGGGTTAAGATGTGAAAGGTAAGAGGTCAATGATTGGGTTGGAAGTTAGGTTTGAGAAGTCAGGGGTTGGTTGTGAGAAATTAGTGGTTTTTTAAGGGTCCATGGCTAGATCATAGCCTGAGGCTACACTCTGGCTACAGGGCATTGATATCTGTGTTGGGCTCCTGGCTGCTGGATCACCCCCAGGACTTCAAAGATCCCCCTGCCCACCCCAACCTGGTCCGGGTTTGTACCTTTCTGAGTGTGGCAGCCCCAGGGGGGGCAGAGAGCCAAGAAGCTGAGAGGCTGCTGAAGCACTTCCAAGAGGAGGAAGAGGAGGAAGAGGAGGAAGAGGAGGAGGTGGCCAAGAAACTCCAGGAGGAGGAAGAGGGGGCCAAGGAGGCCCCAGAAGTGGCAGAGCCTTCTCACCATGGTACCTCCCCTCCTACCACCACAACCAGCCCCATTGCTTTTGGGGTTGCCATCCTAGGAGATTGGAATGGGGGCATTGGCAGCTAACTAAAAAAACAGACGGGATCCATCCCTCTTCTGTCCTCTATTCTGAATAGGGCAGGGCGAGACCTTCCCTCTTTCAGGAGTGCCTCTGGGTGGAGTGAGAGGCAATCGGTAGTGGAAAGAAGATGTTGGTCCTGTAGTACGTATAACCTGGGGTTTCAATCCTAACTCTGATACATATTAATTGTGTGACCTTAGGTAAGTCACCTTATCTCTGATGAACCTCAGCTTTCTCATCTGTGAAATGAGGACAGTACCTTTTACTTCTTACCTCACAGGGTTGTGGTGAGGAAAAGGTTTTGCTCATCATAAAGTACTTCAGGAATATTACGTTACTATTACTAATATTATTTGAAAGATAAAGGCTCCCTCGTCCAATCTGGCTGAAATCATAGGCTCCCAGCATTAGAGCTGGAAGGGACCTTCGAGATCATGTAGTTCAATGCACCCATTTTACAGATCTGATTCAATTCAACAAACATGTATTAAGGGTCTGTTATGCTTAAAGCACTATACAGACAGATGAAGAAAATGGAGCCCCAGATTAAATGACTTGTCCAAGGTCTCCCATCTTTTTGCTGTTGAGTCCTTTCAGTCGTATCTGAATCTTCGTGACCCCATTTGGGGTTTTCTTGACAGAGATACTGGAGTGGTTTGCCATTTCCTTCTGCAGCTCATTTTACAGATGAGGAAACTGAGGCAAATCAGGTTAAGTGCCTTTCCCAGGGTCACACAGCTAGGACACGTCTGAGGCAGCATTTGAGCTCAGGTCCTCCTGATTCCAGGGCTGGCACTCTATCCATATAGCTGCCCCATCTCCCTGCTACAAAGCAGCAGAGCTGGGATCTGAGTTTCTCTGATTCCATTTCCAGTGGTCTCTTTCTCTACAGCACTAAACCTCCTCTTCCCATGACTAGGAGGTATTCTGGGACACAGCCCTCCCTTCTAACCCCCAACCATTCTCTCCTCTTCCCCTGTCCCCCTTTCTCTTGCCTCTACTTGGTTCAGGTTTGGGGCTCACACCCATGTCAGAGGCTAAGTCTGGCTAAAGGAAGGTTTCTTCCTCCTCCCCTGACCCCTGGTCCTGTCATGGCTCTAGGAGAACCTTGACACCACAGCTGTCCGCTTCTGACACCTGTTGCCCCTCTCCAAGAGGGAGAAGGGCCATTTTTTCCTCATTCTTAACTTCCCCTGCCCAGGATCTCTAGGCCCAGAAAAGCCCCTGGAGAAGGAAGAAGAACATGTGAAAGAGGGCCCAGAGCTGCTGGATTTCAGTGTGGATGAGGTAGCTGAGCAGCTGACCGTGATGGATATGGTGAGGGCAGCAGCCAGCTCCTCTTGACCCTGCTGCTTGGAATAAGGATAGATACTGACCTGCATCTTAGATTTGGGGAGAGCAAATTTCACAAGGTTGGGGGCTTCCCCCACCCCCGGGCAAGGTTCCCATGGACTAAAAAATGACAGAGAAAATCAGCCCAGTAGTAGTGAGAAACTCTTAGGGATGAGATTCTGAAGACCCAAAGAGAAACCAGTATTTACCCAATGAAAAAGAAAAGAGGATGTTCATAGAGGTTGGTGTGAAGGGATGCATGGGGGAATTATTTGTCCAATTGAGATGTTAAAAAGGGCCTTAGGTAGAAACATGGCTAGGTAACAGAAAGTGAATATAAAAGTCACTTAAGAATAGTGTTGGAGCACAAAAATTCAGAATGAGCAGAGGCTGTTGAGAAAAGTTAAGTACATTTGGATGAGTTTAGGGGTTGTGGGATTTTTTTTTTCTACATTGGGGAAAAGAAAAGGATAAAAGACAGGATAGGACTGCTGCTTGAAAGGGAGAAGAATGGATTCATTCAGAGAAGGCAAAACTACTCAACTCTTTTCTGGTTTTCATAGCAAAGGGAATGAAATTCTGACAAAGAGAAATGGCTTGTAGGGAGTTTAAATCCAGAACAAGTAGGGTGAAGAGTGTGATAGAACACTCAGTTGTCCTTTAAGAGTTCTAGGCATATCATAAGATAATAATAGCTAGCATTTATATGGCACTGTAAGGTTTGCTAAATGCTTTGCAGATATTATCCCATCCCCTCAACAACCCTGGGAAGCAGGTGCTGTTATTATCCCCATTTTACAGCTGAGGAAGCTGAGGCAGAGAGGTTAAGTGACTTGCTCAGTGTCACACAGGTAGGTAAGTGGCTAAGACTGGATTTGAACTCAGGTCTTCCTGACTCCGAGCCCAGTACCTTATCCACTGCACTACCTAGCTTCCACCAGGATTACAAGTCATAGGATTACAACTGGAGGACCCTGAAGGTCCAACGCCTTCATTTTATAGATGGGAAGAAAGAACTAGATGTAGGTGAAGTGATTTGCCCGAGGTCACCTAAGGAGTAAGAAGCAGAGGCAGGATTTGAACTCTGGTCATCCCACATCTGGATTAAGTTCCAGGAATCATTGTTTTTTGTTTGTTTGTTTGTTTTTGTTTTTTTGGAGGCAGTTGGGGTTAAGTGACTTGCCCAGGATCACACAGTTAGTAAATGTCTGAGGCCGGATTTGAACTCAGATCCTCCTGACTCTAGGGCCAGTGCTCCATCCACTGTGTTACCTTGCTATTTTGGAATCATTGTTTAAGTGGGAGACACTGATAAGTTAGAAAGGACAACCAAGATGGTGAAGGATCTGAAGGTTGTTCCACATGAGATCAGTTGAAGGAATTGGGGAGATTTAGCCTGAAGAATAGGAGACTTAGGGAAGGACATAGTCACTGTCTTCAGGCATATAGTGGAAAGAGTGCTAGATTTGAGGTCCCGGGTTCAAATTCCAGCTTGGTCACCTCTGCCACCGTGGGCAAGTCACAACCTCTCTGGGCTCCAGTTTCCTCATCTAGAAAATGACAGAGTGGATTTTACTGGATATGTTCCTTCTAGTATGAAATCTCTGATCCTTAAAGTATTTGAATCTATGATCTTTGAAGTATTTGTCATAAGGGAGAGGGCCGAGCTATGTGCTACTTGCTTGCAGAGGGCAGTATTAGGAGCACTAGGTGGATGTGCAAAGAGGCAGATTTGACTTGCTGTCCTAACAGTTGGCACTGTCCCCAAGTAATGGGCTGCCTCCGGAGGTAGTGAGTTCCCTCTCACTGGAGGCCTTCAAGCAAAGGCTAGATGACTACTTGACCAGTATATTGTAGAGGGATTCAGGTATGAGTTGGACTGGATGACCCCTGAGGTATTTTCTGATTCTGAGATCATCTGGTTCTGTAACCTGCTCCCTCGGCCCCTTCCCCCAACCCTGTGGGACACTTCTCCCTTTCTCTGATGGGCAGGGAACATCTGTCCCCATCCCCCTGATCCCAATGGATGGAGTAAGGACACCTCCCTGGCCCTCTCCTCCCTAACCTATACCTGATGTATAGGACGAGGATGTTTGCCTTCTTCGACCCTTGCTTGGACCTCCGAACTACCACCTTACACAAACTTAGAGCCCCAGGGCAGATTGGAGATTGGGGGAGGGGTGGGCTGGGAGGCCAACAATGCGGGGAGGTCCTTATTATTCAGTTGTATCTCTCTCCACCTCTATCCCGATGCGCAGGAACTCTTTTCTCAAGTATGCCTTGGGGAGTGCCTGGGTTCGGTGTGGTCTCATCGGGATAAAGCAGTGGGCCGTGGAACTGCCCCCTCTGTCCGAGCCACCGTGGCCCAGTTCAATGCAGTAACTAGTTGTGTCCTGAGCTCAGTGCTGGTGGGACCAGGACTGCCCCCACCCTATAGGGCCCATCGCCTGGAGAAATGGATCTTCATTGCTCAGGTGGGAGGCTATAGTAGTTGGAAAGCCTCCAGGCGGGCCATGGGTGGGGCACCAGGGGTCTTCCACACAATCCAACAGGATCTAACATGGCCTAGCTCTCTTTACTTAGCGCTGTAGGGAGTTGAGGAACTTCTCGTCCCTCCGGGCCATCCTCTCAGCGCTGCAGTCCAACCCCGTATACAGACTCAAGAGGAGCTGGGCAGCGGTGAGCCGGTGAGGGCTTCAGGGGTGAGAGGGCAGGAGTGACTGTGAGGGAGCTGGAGGAGGCCAGAGGGAGGGTGCAACCTCAGGGACCAGATTGATTCTCTTCTTCCTTGATCGAAGACTATAGGCTGAATAACAAGGATGGGAATAGATGGAATTGGGCGGAGACATTGGAGACTGTTACAGAGTAGTTCTTTGTAGCCTCAGAGGATGGAACTAGGAACATTGGGTTGGAAGTTGCCAAGAGGCAGATTTAGGATTTGGGAAGTTTCCCAATGATCCTAGGCATGCAAAAGTGAAATGAGTTACCGGAGGAGAAAGGGACCTCCCAGATGTTGTAAAGGGGATTAATCCCCTTTGGAATCCTTGCTACTGAAACCTTTCCAGATTGGTGTGGCTGATGAAGGTGACTCTTGACATCCCTTCTGAGATGCTGTAGATAGAGACTGACCAGCAGAGACCTCAAAGAGGTGCTCTCTCACCCCTGACCTTGCTCCCTTCCTCCTCTCTCTCTCTCTCTCTCTCTCTCTCTCTCTCTCTCTCTCTCTCTCTCTCTCCCCCCCCCCCCCCCTCCCCTAGGGAGCCATTGTCCATATACCGGAAACTCTCCAATATTTTCTCGGATGAGAACAATCACCTTAACAGCAGAGAGATTCTCTCCCAGGTACAGAAGGACCTTGGATGCCGGGGTCCCTGAGGTGGGAGTACCCAAGCTGGATGGGGAAGGGAGACACAGAGAAGACAATGGGTATCAGGGTCTTGTAGAGTTATCGCCTTATACTGGGCTTAACTTTTATCAGCCTGGCCCGTAGTAGGTGCTTAGTAAACGTATGTTGACTTGAGGCTGGTGGCATATAATGCTTAGGGTGGTAGACACTTGCTTAGCAGTGTACTTAACCAGTAGTCTTGTGTATGAATAGAAACAACCTAGCTAGAAGCAGTGATGAGGGTTTGGGACTTCTAGTTGATATTTCCCAGCACCGAAGCTCAGCCTTGGCACCCCTTAGTGGACAAGACCTCATTCCTTATGTTTTTCTCTTTTGCCTCATTTGACCTTTTTAATGATGGGACCCTTGAAGCTTCAGTCTGTCTCCAAACTATTGTTGCTTTTTCCACTAAGGGGGCACCCTCTTCCTTCAGTATCCAACATTTTTTGCCTTTGTGGCTAAACTTTTATTCCACAAAACAGGTTTTCTTCCTCTGGGGGGCTCTGGTCTAGCTATTAGAAAAAGGGACTAGGGTTCTATCCTTTGGATTCTTTCTTTAACCCTTTTCTATCCTAGGAAGAAGCCTCCTTGACCTCCCCTGAAGAGGAGACAGCTCCAGGAGTCCCTCCCTTGGTAAGGGGCTATATTGAACTTGAGAAGGGAGCAGGCCTGGTGAAGAAGGCTACAAGGAGTTGGTTCTGGGAGTGAAGGAGGGATTGGGATTGGGAGATGTGATAGAACAGGTGGGACCAAGGTTGGGACAATAATACCCAAGGGAACTGATTGAGTTTCTGATCAATTCCAGAAAGTGCCCCCTGGCCCTATTCCCTACCTGGGCACCTTCCTCACTGACCTTGTCATGCTGGACACTGCACTGCCTGACCGGCTGGAGGTGAAAGCTTGGCCCCTGATCCCACTCCCCAATCCCCCCCAACCCCCATCCTTTCACTGTCATCCTTGCTACTGAGACCTTTCCAGAAGCCCACGACATCCCCTGCCTGCCCCACTGCACTGCATCTGGAGTGACCACTCATTGAGCCTCAGGTGGTTCCTCTGTCAATTTAAGGGGGTGGGACCAGATCTCTAAGGTCCCTTCTAGCTTTAAGTTCTATGATCCTGTGATTTGGGCTGTCTTGGGGACTCTGAGTTCAGTTCTGTGCTCAGGCTTGCTTCCTTTCCACCACCCCCAGGGAGATCTTATCAACTTTGAGAAGCGGAGGAAGGTAAAGGGATCTGGGCAGAGGGGAAAAGGGAGGGTGTGCTGGGTGATGAAGGGAAATTGGGGAGAGAGGTAAAGATCCTGGGACAGGTAGGAGTGGGAATGCCTGGGAGGTGGGAATGGGGGGAGGAAGGGTCCAGCAGAAAGAACCTCACCTCCCTTTTCCAAGGAGTGGGAGATCCTGTCCCGAATCCAGCACCTTCAGCGTCGCTGTATGAGCTATAGCCTGCCATCTCGGCCACCTGTTCTTGCTGCCTTCCATGCCCAGCGTCCCCTCAGTGAGGAGCAGAGGTGACATGTTTAATCCCTGCTTCTGCTACCCTGTGATGCACAACCTATCTCTGATGTCTCTGACCTACCCCTAAACTAAGCTCCTGGGGCAGGCAATCAACCTCCTTTGAATTAAGTCCAAACTCTGGATCCCAGCTCAACCTACCTGGTTAACTGTAGCTCATACTATTCCCCTTCTGGTACTCCAACCAGGCTTCTCTATCCCTCCTTCTTGCCTTTTTTTTTTTTTCCAGGCAATTGGGGTGAAGTGACTTGCCTAGGGTCACACAGCTAGTAAGTGTCAAGTGTTTGGTCTGAGGCCTTCTTGCCTTGTACCTTCCTGTTTCCATGCCTTTGTTCAAGTCAGCTGCTTATCCGATTAGATCCATTCTCTCTTCTCCCCTTCCATGGATGTGGGAATCCCCTGATTCCCTCAATGGTTAGCACAGTGGCTGCTACCTTCTTGAGGAAGTCTTTTTGGATTTCTCTAGCTGAAAATGTTTTTTGCCCTCTCACATTTCAAAGAGCATTGTGCCTGCCTGGTCCTCTCCTGTGCACTTACTTCCCCTGCATTTTTCCTTATTAAGTTGTAAGCTCCTTTAGGGTGGACTCTGTCATATATCTGTTCTTCAGTGCCCAGCATACAAGTAGGTACTTCCTAAATGGTCTTTGTTTTTGTTGACCAGATCTGTGACTCCGCTGGTTTAGGGAACTTCCAGTGAGGAAAACCCCTCTTTGAATGCAGATCAGCATTTCTTCTATAACTTACAAATCTTAAGAGTTAGTTGTCTGGAAGCAATGAGATGTAAAACAAAATGCCCAGGATCACAGAGCTAGTGTGTTTCTGAGACTGGGCTTCTGGGCTGGTTCCACTATCCCACAATGCTTCTCTTCCTGAACACAATTCAGTTAAGCGAGCATTGATTAAATGTCCACTTTGTGCAAAGCCCTGTACCGGGTTCTGGGTAAGCTTGGATAAGGCATGCTTCCTTCCCTCATTGAGTTCACAGTCTCGTATAGGGATGAGACACAAATACAGACAACAAGTATGGTTTATGTTAGATATAAGTACCGTCCTATGTGAGGTATGAAGGAGAAAGTCATTACTGATTGAGGAAGGACTTCTTGGAGGACATAGCCTTTGAGCTTAGCTTTAAAGGACAGATAGGAATTCAATAGGAAAAAGGTAAAGGATAAACATAGTAAGCAAAAGTAAGGGAAGGGAGTATAGGGCATGTGTCGATCAGGGTTAGAGATTTCCTTACTTAGGTTGGAGTATAGAGTGACCCTTGAATTATTGACTTGGTAGGCAGCTGGGAGACATGGAGGGTTTGGGGCAGAGGCAAAACATAATGATTGATGTTTGTTAAATGAATTAATTGACTCATGTTCTCAACCTCATTCCTCTGGTGCATTCTTATCACCTGGTCCCATCCCTCTGGCTCCCATCTCCATTCTTCTAATTCCAACCCAGTCTCTGATGTGACTCTGGTCCCTATTTCCTCACTCCCATTTCCCCCAGTTACCGCCTGTCCCGGGTTATTGAGCCCCCAGCTGCCTCCTGTCCCAGCTCCCCCAGGATCCGGCGACGGATAAGTCTTACTAAGAGACTTAGTGCGTGAGTCAATTTCAATCTTAGGGTGGAAGAATGATGAAATTATGGGGAAGGGGGAGAGACTGGGGGAGCCTGGGCTTCCCTTGGAGCCATATCTGACATCTCTCAACTCTTAGGAAGTTGTCTCGGGAAAGGGGCTTCTCTCCCAGCCACCAGCCTGGGGATCTCCCCTCTCCCAGCCCCAGGTAAGACAAGTCGGGAGAGGATAAAGGTTGGAGGGCAAGGTTAGGGTCTGGAGTTGAGAGAATAATACCATCTCTGGTTTCTGTGTCTCCTGTAGTCTCTCTTCAGGTTCCTACCCATCCGGCCCTGGAGATGGGGACCCCCTGACCCTTAGCCCTCCTCCATCCCCAGGGGCAACTGGTCTGGGCCACAAGGTGCATGACCTCAACTATATACGATATTGTGTGTTTGTGTGAAGAGGTAGCTAGAGTACAGGGAAAACTACTTACTTGGACTGAGAGTCACGAGACCTGGGTTCTAGTCTTGACCTTGAGCAAGTCATTTCTCCCGTCTGGCTTTCAAATTTCTCATGTGTAAAACAGAGGAGTATTACACCAGTGTGGCCGGGAGGTATTAAGGAGCTCAAATGAAAGAATGGGAAAGCGCCTCCTCCCCAGCATATGATGAGGGTGACTTACACATGGTGGGTGGGAGGGAGGGGTGTTGTATGTGTCCATGTGTGATATGTACGGAAGCCAGGAGGTGTGCTAGACGCTGTTGATAGCTGTAACTTCTTCCTCTGCCCAGGGCACCGTGGAGCAGCCTCTGGGAACCAAAGTTTCTGAGCTCCGGGCGGCCCCAGCCTTCCTTGGGAGCCTTGCGCAAACTTCCCACCCAGGGCAGCGGACCCCGGATGCCTGTGTCATCAGAGTCAGCATTGACCATGATCCTGGGAACCTTTATAGGAGCATTTTGGTAAGGAGAAGGAGCACAGTCTGTATTCCAGCAGCAAAGGGAGAATCAAGGTGGGAGGGGAGGTTGTCTCCACACTTAGGATGTTCCCACCCCATTTGCAGCCTCCTGAACCTCTCACTGACCTGCACCACTGCTCCCTCCCTCCACTCACTGTGTTCCTAGCACCTCCCCTGCTTCTCTTTCTCACGAATTCTTTCCCCACCCCCAGCTGACTAGCCAGGACAAAGTTCCAGGTGTGGTTCTCCGAGCCCTCCAGAAACTGCACCTGGAGCAGCCACAGCCCCGTGACTATCAGCTGTTCCAGGTCCTGCCTGGGGACCGGGGTGAGTGGGTGTGAGAGCCCCGGGGACTGTGGTAACTCCAGGGACCGGTGAACCCTGGGCATGGGGTGGTGGCTGGTGGCCCCAACTGAGCAAGGACTCAGCTCTCCAACAGGGCTTCTGGCAGAACTCCAACCAGCTTTCCCTTCTCAGTAGCCCTCTGAGGAGGCCATCCGAGATTGAGAAAATTCAAGGGCAGACAATTCTGGCAGAAAGCTGCTTCAGACTGGGTGGGGTTAACAAGGGGAAGGGAGTTAGTCGCCAGTCACTAAGGCTTTTTGTGCAGAGGTGGGCATGGTGCACCAGACCTGGGGTCTGGTTCAAAGTTTGGTACCGCCACTTTAGTGAGCTTGCTCATGTGATTCCCCCCCGCCTCAGTTTCCTCCTCTGTCAAATGAGAGGTCAAAGGTCCCTTCAGCTCTAAATTTCTATGATCCTCTGACTCCCTTCCCTGCTACATAAGGGGGAAAAAAACAAACAGTAAATACACGGAGAAAGAAAAGACACGCAGCCTAAGTATACCAACTTGATGCAATTTGATACCATATGGGCCTTCCACCCGCAGAGCTCCTGATTCCAGACAACGCCAATGTGTTCTATGCCATGAGCCCAGCCAGCCCCGGGGATTTCGTGCTACGGAAGAAGGAGGGAGCTCAGTCCCCACCCTGATGACTGACTCTCCTGTCTGAGAGGGTCCCAGGCTTGGACCTGTCTGAGGCTGAGGGAGAGCCTGGGCCATCCCAGAGGGATGTCTGGCTGGGCCAAGGCACTGATCCCAACAAGATCCCTGGTGTCCCCATGCCTTTGTCTCCGTGTCCTCTCTGGGAAGCTAGGACAAGTAGAAGGGGAGGGGATGGCATGATGTGCAGGCGCTTGGTCCGGCCACTAGATGGCAGGCTGTCTAGGGTTGGTCAGCATGGGCTCAATGAAATCCAGAGCCAGTCCTCACTTTTGGGTGGGAAGGGCAGGGCTATATCTGTGAGCGTCCAGAAGCCCCCTTTTTTGGACCTTCACTCTTTTTAGGGCCCCACCAGGGCCACAGATACCTTCTAATCCCAGCCCCCTGCAGAAAAAGACGACTTTGGGGTTTGTTTAGAAAATCAGCCAGGGGAGACATGACCAGAAGTCAGAGGCTGCTGCCTTCCTGTGCCCTCCCAGGCAGCCATCCAACCTAACCCAGGAGTCAGGCCCCAGCGCTCTGTTCCCAGACAATTGGCTCAAGGGTTACCAGTGCAAAGAACTTCAGGGGCTGTCTAGCCCAGTGTATACCTGAGCAACAATGTCTTCCCTAGTGTTCCTAAAAAGTGATCAGCCTTGTCTGGGAGTCCTCCAGTGAGGAGAAACCCTCCACTCTACGCAACCCCCATCTTAACTCCCCTCTCAAAGCTACTGCTTTTTATTCTCGATCTAATTTGAGAGCATTTTTCTTTATATTAAGTTTAAATCTGCCTGACTTCTGTCACTCCTAATTTTGCCTGATAGGGCAAGTTTAATCTTTCCACATGCCAGTCCTTCAGTCCAAACAAAATGTGCAGTGATCATGTGCCCCCTCAGTTTGCACTTCTCTGGAATAAACCTCCCCAGTTACTTCGGTCAATTGTCACATGCCTCCTGTCCCCATCCCTTGCCCCATCACCCAGTCACCCTCTAGGATGCCCTTGACCTTGTCGATGTCCTAAGAATCGAGAAAGCCAAAGGACACAGTAGCAGTGTCCCTGGCTTTCAAATCCTTCTCTTCTATTCCCTACCTTGGGCAAATTACTTACTCTCCCTGGGCCTCAGTTCCCTCATTTATGAAATAGAGTTGGAGTCAATGATTTCTCAGGCAGTTTCCTGCTCAAAATCTACAGTCCTATGGGCTATCCAGATCTGAAAGCAATACTCTATATGGGGTCTGCCTAGAGCCTTTGATTAGGGTGCTACTTACCTTGGCTTCACACAAGTTCTAAGTCTCATACAATGGTCAGTCCCCATTCCAACTCACCACACCATTTCCCTCCCATCCCCTAAATCTGATAGGCCAGAACCAACTTAATCCATCTTTTCCATATTTTTTTTTCTGGAGACTAGATTTCCTAGGTTATATGTCCAATGGCCACTCGTGGGCCAGATTCCACTGCTGATTGGTAAAGAAGCTTTACTTCTGACCTGGGCCTGATCTCAGGCAGCTTGGTACCACCAACACATACACTCCCATGGCTCTCCATACTAGTGACAAAGAGGACAGACACCAGATTGACTTTAATCCCCAGCAGCTCCCCAAGAGCTCAAGCAATACACCAACTTTAGGTTTGTGGCTCATGGGCATGTGTTACCATGCCTATGTTTCCTACCTTCTAAAGCCTGGGTGATATACCCACCAAGGCCATGCCATAGAGCAGAGTAGAAATGTCAGGCACCTGGAATATCCAGCCCACTGTGATAATCCAGGGCTCTGGATCCATGTTCCCCTTTCCCCTTTGGCCCTTCTGGATTCAAATTCAAACATTAAGGTTCTGTTGAGGAGGCTGGGTTACAAAGATAGATACAGCATAGACCATACTCTCAAGAAACAACCGAGTGGATGGAAGGACAATAATGTACCGTAGGAGGGAGGCAAGGTACCTGAGACCACTGGAATGACAGTGGAAAGAGCATGGATGTCAGCAGAGGCCTAGCTCAAATCTTACTTGTGACATTGAGTAAGTAGCGTAAGTTCTCTAGGCCTCAGTTCCCTCACTTGTAAAATAATAATATTTGCACTGCTAGAAGCCATGTGGTTCAGTGGATAGCAATCTACCCATGAAGCCAGGGAGATCTGGTTTCAAGTCCTGCCTCTTGATCCTTGCAGGCTGAGTGAACCTGAACAAATTCTTTAACCTCTCAGTGTCCACTGTAGAAAAAAGTGCTAACATGCATTGGTAGAGGGCTTTTCCTCCTTTAGGAATTCCTCATACCGATAACATCATGGGAACTAGTTCCTACCCTACTTACCTCAAGAGGTGGTTGTGAGGAAAGTGCTTTGTGCAATCTTTAAAGAGCAATATAAATTTGTTATGAGATATTTGAGGGGTAGATTATTGGGAGGGGGAAGGGAGAGAACTGTGATCAGGGGGTCTTAGAGGGGGTGGCACTTGAGTTTGGCTTTGAAGGAAGGAAAAAGCATCAACAGATGTGGGAAGCATAGTGGATAGATCACTGGGCCTGAAGTCAGGGAGACCTGAGTTCAAATCTAATTTCTGACACTTTACTAGCTGCGTGCCACTGGGCAAGTCACTTAACCTCTGTTTGCCTCAGTTTCCTCATCTATAAAATGGGGATGCTGATAGTACCTACTCTTAATGTAGGTTCAAATGAGATAATTGTAAAGTGCTTATCATAGTGCCTGGCACATAGTAAGCACTATAGAAATGTTAGCTATTACAATTCATTTGTGACTAAGAGTGCAAGGGAGGAGTATGCAACAGGGCTGGAAAGGGGTGTTGAAACAAAATTGCTGAAGAATTTGAATGCCAGGATTGGGAGTTCATGCTTGATTTGGGAGGAGGCTTGGAGTAGAGAAAGGAGATAATCATAGGAGCTAGGTGGTGCAGTGAATAGAGTGCTGGGCCTGGAGTCAGGAAGAAGATTGTTCCAATCCTGCCCCAGACACAAGATGTGTGAACCTGGGCAAGTCACCTAACTTCTGCCTCAGTTCCCTCTTTCTTCATCTGTGAAATGGGGGATGATAATAGCACTTATCTCCTAGGGTTGTTATAAAGATAAAATGAGATATTTGGAAAGTGATTTGCAAACTTTAAAGTGCTGTGTATTAGCTATCATGAGGATAGAAGTTACTTGGGCAGTAAATGATGGGGAAGACAGTGGAGGCCACAGCAGTAACACAGACAAAAAGCAAGGAGGGCCTGAACTAGGTAGGGCAGAGGCAGCAGGAGTTTGGGAAAAGGGAAGATGAGAGAGAGAAAACAATAGCTCCCATATCTATAGGATTTTACAGTTTGGATATTGCTTTCCTCACCAAAGTAGGCAGCATAAACATTACTCTGCCTTTTTTAATAGAGGAGGAAACCTCATCAAGAGTTTAAAACCACTTGCCCAAGGCCTCATGCACACTGTTACTAAGTGGCAGAGTGGGATTTAAATCCCAACTGTTGACTCCAAATTTAGGGTTCCACCCCATCATTCAGGCTTCTTTCCACCTCCTGCCCTCTTTCAGGAGTGCTGGTTTTGCAATTGGGATTCTAAGGCTAAGGAGAGGATTGCAGAGTATTTATTCCTTAAACTCCACTCTAGGCATTCTCCTTTATACTAGGCTGTCCAGGAGGCCCACACTTTGCCCCCTTCTCTGAGCAGCTGGAAGAGGTGAGAGAAAGTCAAATGTGATTTTGAGGGCGTGATGAAAGGCAGAGTGTCCAGGCTTTGGGAGATGATAGTCCTTCGTACTGGGGTCAGTTCTGGTTGCCCCATTTGGGGAAGGATACTATTAAGTTGGAGTCCATCCCAGGGAAGTGAAAAGTTTAAGATCACATGGGATAAGTGTCTCTTCAAGGAACTGGGTGTGGTTGACCTGTAGAAAAGAAGGCTCAGGGAGGACATGATAACTGTCTTCAAACATCTGAGCTCTATTGCATTTGTTTTCTATGGCCCCAGGGGGCAGAATTAAGAGCCCTGGGAGGAAATTGCTGAGCTACAGATTTAAGTTTAATTAAAGAAAAGCTTCCCAACAATTAGCGCTATACAAAAGAGAAATGGACTACTTGAGCAAACAGTTACCTGCCTCTCATTAGTGGTCTTCCAGCAAAGGATGGATGACTGGTGCAGTGGATAGAGTTCTGGCCTTGGAGTCAGGAGGACCTGAGTTCAAATCCAGCCTCAGACACTTGACACTTACTAGTTGTGTGACCCTGGGCAAGTCACTTAACCTCATTGCCTAGCAAACAACAACAACGAAAAAAGGATGGCTGACCTCTGGTGGGGTGTGTATGTCCAGGTAGGTGTTAGATTAGATGGTTTCTGATGCTCCTTCCAGCTCAGGTTCCTTGATTCTGGCCAGGCAGAGATAATTTCTTCAGCTGCTCTTGGTGCTCCAGCCTGCTTGGCTATGAATGCAGAAGGAGGGAGGCCTCACTTAGGCTGTAGATCATGGCAGCCCCCACTTTGGGATGGATGGGATCCATATACTCCTGGACTAGGCCAGTGGGAAAAAGAGCATAGCTAATCCAGGGAGCCCATGATTTCTACATTCTCCCACAGCGGGGTCCTGTTTTCCCACCACAGCTGGAATTTAAACCAAGTGAATATGGCTAGTATGAATTCAGAATTATTGTCTGGACAGACCTGTAGAGTAGTTATTAATGGTACCATCTCAACTTGTCTCATTGCAATACCCCCAGGAAGCTGTATTTGGTCCTGTGCTGTTTCATATTTTTAATCACTGGCTTAGACAAAGGTGTGGGTGGCATATTTATCAAATTCACAGATGACACAAAGCTGAGAAGGATAACTAATACACTGGATGGTAGAATCAAGATCCAAAAAGATCGTGACCGGGTAGAACATTGGGCAGAATAAGGTGAAATTTAGTGGGGATAAATGCATCTTACAAGCACAAGATAGAGAATTCATGGGTAGACAGTTTATATGAAAAAGATCTGGTGGTTTTGGTGGACTGCAAGCCCAAAATGAATCAGCAGTGTGATGAGAAAGTCGCCCCAAAAAGGGCATTTCAATCTTGGTCTGCATTAAGAGAATAAGGCTTGCAGTAATGAGGCCATAATGGTCCTTCAGCCCCGTCTGACTATATCTCATATTCAATTCTGGGCACCATGTTGTAGAAAGGACGTTATAAGATGGAAAGCATTCATAGGAAGGCAACCATGGCATTCATTAATCAACTGTTCAATAAAAACCCATCTATGAAGAGCTTGATTGCTGGTAAACTCTGGTGTGGACTCCAATTCCTGGATCTCTGGTGGCTCACCCTTCTAACCTTTTACAGCTCATAAGTATATAGCTGTCTCTAATACACTCTCACCTGCTTTGTAGGAAAGAATAGACCCAATAAAGAGAGAAAAATAGCTATGCTGTGAACATGATAATGTATTGAGCTGAGTGAGGGGTGGCTGCTGGTACCACCTCTCTTTCTCTCTGTACCCAGAGGCTTACAGAAGTCATTCCTTCAACCACTGCCAGGAAGAGATCATTTTGGTTTATTAGTGTCTTTTGTAATAACTCATTTCTTGCCCAGAAGTTAATATAAAAAATTTTTTTTCACCATCTAGTAGGTAGATGGGCAGCTAAGTGGCATAGTGGATAGAGTGCTGGGCCTGGAGTCAGGAAGACTCATCTTCCTGAGTTCAAATCTGGCCTCAGACATTTACTAGCTGTGTGACCCTGGGCAAGTCACTTAATCCAGTTTGCCTCAGTTTCCTCATCTGTAAAATGAGCTGGAGAAGGAAATGGCAAACCACTGCAGTATCTCTGCCAAGAAAACCCCAAATGGGACCATGGAGAGTTGGACACTGAACAACAACAACAGTAATAGTAAGTGGAAAGGAAATACCCAATACTTTGAAGCAGAGAGTTGGGCCCCTTCATTCCACATTATC